CTTTCACCTTTCTCTTCTGCCTCCAAATCAACTTCCAGCCCTGGCCACCGCCCTTTCAGCAGCCTCACATCCTGCCTGCAGCCCATGTTCCCTGCACGTTCCAGGGTGCAAGGTCCAACCCTGGGCACTAACACCCAGAGGGTCCTTCCTGGCTTGAGCTGGCCTGGAGGGTACAGCTGCCCCCAGCAGCCCCTGCCACCCCACTGCACTCTGCCTGAACACCCTGCTGGCACCATGAGCGCTGAAACCACAAACACTGGTGGGAAGTTGGGCCAAGAGGAACATAAGGGTTCTCCTATGGGTACCGCACCGGCAACAGCAAAATCAAAACCACTTTGTGTCAGCCCAGCCTCACCGCCTGGTGCCCTCCATCCTGCTCGGGTCAGTGCTCCTGGGACCACCGACCCTGCACCCAGCACCCATCCCCAATCCCTGTCTGCTCCCTACCACTGTACCCTGCTCCAGTGCCTCACCCAGCCCCAGCTCTGCTCCCCGTCCCCAAGCCTGGGTAGCACTGTCCCCTCTGCAGTGGGGACATCGGGTGGGCTCCTGCCACCTCCCGGAAAGCAGCAAGGCACCATGATGGGTGCAGGAGACGATAGGGCTAAGATAGCCCTGAGGTGGCAGGAAGAGAGGGTGACATCCCCAGGGTGCCAAAGGGAGACAGGGTTGGGGGGCGGCCAGCGAGGGCCCCACTTGCACTCACCATGGTGTCCCTGTGTCTTGCCCCCCGGGGACGTGGCGGGTCGGGGCTCTTGTCACCGAGGGCCCAGGGCCATCCTGAAGCACTTTGCTTTTGTGTTTCTGCTGCAACTACAAACCTTTTCCTCCTCCCACTTCCTCATTTTGTGCCGGTTTGCCGGGGGTGGGGAGGATGAGGGTGGCTCTCTGCTGCCGGGGGTGGCCCTACCCAGGGTGACCCTGTCTCTGCTGCAGACGTGTGCTGCTGGTGCCAGGGGGCACTGATCTGGGTAAGTGGGTGGGTGCTGGGTAGAGTCCAGCAGGGATGCTCAGAGCTTCCACAAAACCTTTCCCCACACTCCGACGTGATAGCTTGAGGTGCCCCCCTCCAGCAGTAGGCAGTCACTGCTAGGGGATTCTCTGCTTCAAGGTACTTTTAGGAGCGTTATGCTTTGGTAGCTTGTTTTTTAGGTCTTTTGAGTAAAAAAGGCCATACTTGAGGAAATGTTATGGCTAAAAATGGGCTGAAGCCATTTCGAAAAGACCATTGCGGGAGCTGTGTGAGGAACAGCCGCGATGGTGCCCCCACCACAACTGCAGAGCTGGTGCTGCTGCAATCCTGCACACACACAGACCCATCTTCATGCAACACCCCTGGGGAGAAAATGAATGAATCTCGGGAAGCCCTGGCTCGTTGCGATGGTTCGTCAATGCCAATCCAAGGCTATGCGTAAAGAAGGGAGCCCGTCGCGATGAGCGTTTCTGGCCCTACTCAACAGTCTATTGGCGCGGGCCCAACGACGTGACAGCGGTCAGCCAATTAAAAAGGCAGCCCTGCACATACCAGCAGCGCCAGCAGTGGAGCGGGACAGTAGCAGGGAAGCATCAGGCAGCAACTGGCAGCTTCTGGGTGCTGCGTCCTGACGCCCAAGGAGTCTTCGAAATAAAGTGTCAGGGCAACCACAAGAGGTGCCAAACCACAGAGGACGTGTGGAAGCTCTTAGGCTGGGACGACACGGAGCCCATGGAGGTTGACCCAGTGGGAGATGAGGAGGAGCCCATGGAGGTTGACCCAGTGGGAGATGAGGAGGAGCCCATGGAGGTCGATCCAATTCCAGCAGACCTAGTTGCGCTCTGCACTGCCGGTTCCAGGCTATGCCCGAAGAAGGGAGCCCGTCGCACTGGGAAGATGTGGCCCCACCCAAGACTCTACCGGCGCGGGACCACCTCCTCACCACTGGGCAGGTATATGCTTGGGGGTGGTGGGAAGCCACGGCCTTGGCGGACCCAGCCTGTGCGTGGCTCCCAGCCATCACTCGACCATTTCCTCTCTCTCCCTTGAAACATGGTGGAGCTTCAAGCGCCGCTTGGGCTCTTCCTCCCCACCCTGCACTCCCCCGCTGCCCCAGATATTCATCAGGTATCTCCCCTGCCTTTTCCAGCGTGTGGGTGGCACAGCACCGGAGGGTCACGCTACGGAGACCATCCGCGGCGAACAGACACCGCGTGCTGGGCACCAGTCTCGCCAGCAGAGTTTGCAGAACCCAGAGGGTCAAAGCCTTCTTCAGATCCCTTCTCCTCAAATAAACCTCTTCCAACCTTGGCTTTGTGGCACTTTCTTGGGGTGGGGGGGGAAGAGCTGGAACAAGAGGGGGCAACGCTTTGTGGAGGCCTAGCACCCAAGACCGGCTCAGGGCCCTGAGCTTTGGAAATGGCCTCTCTCTCCTTCTCGAGACCATCATCTCAGTCACTCGCAGCCCGGTTAGAGTCGGAGAATCATAGACTCACAGAATGGTTTGGGTGAGAAGGGAACTTTAAAGGTCATCTAATCCAATCTCCTGCCATGAGCAGGGACACCTTCAACTAGAGCAGGTTNCTCAGAGTCCTGTCCAATCTGACCTTGAATGTTTCCAGGGATGGGGCAGCTACCGCCTCTCTGGCCAACCGATGCCCGTATTTCTCCACCCTCATTCCCTGCACCTAGTCTGAATCTCTCCTCTTTTAGTATAAAATCCTCACCCCTCTTTTAGTTTAAAACCATCAACCCTTGTTTTGTTGCAACAGGCCCTACTGACGAGTCTGTCCTCTGGTTCTCCAGAGCCACAAGATATGGTGCAAACCTTTGAGCCAATCCCCACACAAACCAGCTCAAGGGATTCAGGGAAGCATCGGCGATGTTGCAGACACGTAGTTCTTCAAAGAGTCCCCCCCCGCCCCGTTAAAATCCCAAACCGGCACCACCAACACGGGGGTTCTGTGTGCCCCCGGGGTGGACAGCCCACCCACGAGGGGTCTGCCAAGGGAAGCCTGTTCCTACGTGCCACGCAGCAACTCTGAGCGAATCTCCACCTCTCCCATCCGCTCTGGTCACTCGCGGCTGCTGGGAGAAGCCTCCCCTGCTGCCCAAACCTCTCCTCCAGTGTGACCACAAGGAGCACTGTCGTGTGGGGCTGCCCAGAGCCCAGGCTTGTTGCTTGAGAAACAAGACTGGGACCAGAAGCTGCACCTGGGATCGTAGCTACTCCTTTATTATAAATCATGCTGTTACGTCGCTCCTCCTCAGAGTTAGTACGTTAAACATTTTTCATTATATATATATCTCATCTATATAAAAAGGTGAAAACACCCCCTCCCCTCACCAAAATGTCAGAAGGGAGCGTGGCACCGGGAAGGAAGACAAAGGAAGGCCCGCTCGACAGCCAAGTGGGATTTGCTGAGCACCAGAGAAGCTGCGATTGGCTGATGAGCGGGTAAAAATACAGATGGTAGAATAACACATGATGGCTGGTAGGGCAGAGAGGTTTGTTCTGGTTAAAGAGGGCTCTCCCCCTCCCTGCACCCTAGGGATGACCCCTATGGGGAGCAGAACATAGCTTGGACAAGATCTCCCTTCTTCGTGATGCAGAAAGGCCTGAAAATATTAATAATAATGACAATAATGATAATAAAAAACACATGCTTTGTCGATTGGGAATTCAGGTCTCCTCCGCAGGCCGTGGTGGCCCACGGAGAAGACATGTGTCAGGTGTCAGCCCAAATTTGGCCAGGAGGTGTCCTGGAGGAATTTCAAGCCTGCTCCTTTCCCATCACTGGAGGTCTCCTGGGGGCAGAGGAGTGGGTGGCACTGGGACCTATAGCCCAAGTCCACAGCGGCGTGCAACAAGGCTGCCTTTGGAGGCAAAGCACCTTTCGGAGGCAAAGCACCTTTCAGAGGCAAAGCACCTTTGGAATAAAGCACCTTTGGAGGCAAAGCAGCCGTGGAGGCCGTGGCGTTTGCTGGGGAGGGCCCTGCCAGGACCAGGCAGAGTGGTCCTGCAGTTACGGCTCGGCAATGGGGACACAGTGACCAAGACAGTTCTTGTCCTGCATCCTCCTTTGCTTTGCTTCCTGCAGCCCGGCACGTCCTTGATGCCTGTTAAGTGACTGCAACCCTGAGCACGACTGGGCCATGACCTCAGCTCGTGCTTCGAGGTGTTTCTGGAATAAAAAATGGTCATAAGAGTGATAAGGACTTTAAGGAAAAATAGGGGGACACCCCAATCAAAGTAGGTTGTTAAGAGAGTTTGAATAACCCCCCTCTCCCAGTTAAACTGGTGTCACTGCTCTGCTCACTGAGTGACCTGCTCTCTGTCCCCTGCTGCACGTCCCAAGGTGACAGGATGCAAACCAATAAAACAAAATTCCTGCTCCAGCCCCACTGCCCACAGCAGCTCATCTTCATCCATCGCCCAGAGGCCACAAGCCACGCTTGTCACCCGTGGCACCTGAAACCTCCTCCCTGTCTGCCCTGGGATCCCGGAGGGAAAGGCAGCAGCCCCCGGTGCGCTCAGCCTCCCCGGGGAGGCCCCACTGTAGGCCACGATGCCCCGTGATGCCCTCGGGACACGGGCGCGGAACAGGACAGGGCAAGAGCAGGGCGAGTGGTGCCGCTTTGGTGGCTGTCTCGGCGTCTGCAGGACCTGGGTCCGCTACTAATAAATAACAATGTCAGAATTTCAAGTAATGTCCCTGCTGCTGCGCTCTGCCCAGCTTCTCCCTCTCCCACCGCTCATCGACCGGCTCCTGTCACACTGGGCCGTGGCAGTGTCTGCAGCGGCTGGCAGTGGTTTAACTGGGAACCTGCCATTGTGAAGCTCGGGGGCGAAGGGTGCATGTCTTTGGGGGACGGGTTTGGGTGACGCCGGCTCCCACTGGAAGCACGACCAGTGTCTGTGTTGGACCCAGGGGAGATTGCCGGGGCGGAGAGGAAGGGCGCAGCTCGGCGGTCCTCCGGCGTAGTTTTTGCCTTCCAGTTTTCCCATGGGGGTCACACTGCATCCCTAGTGCCCCTGGCATGTTTTACAGCACATCTGTCGGAAGTAGGTCCGGCTGCAGAACTTGAACTTCAGGACGAGAGGGCAGTAGGCCACCTTGTTCACATCCTTGCACTCTGGATGGGCGACAGAGGGAAGCAGGGTTACAGCTGCCTTGAGGAGCCCCAGGGGGGACTTCTAACCAGCACTATGCAAGCTCTTTTTGCACCCTGATGCCCAGCTCCTGGAGGCTTTTCTCCAGGAAGCAGCAAGAGGCAGCCGTGTTGAAGAAGCTACTGAGAACCTCTCTACCGAAAGCCTCTCTTTGCCAAGGTGCAGTTACTTCATTTATCAGTGTCACGGCATGCCAGTTTGGCCTGGGACCAGAGGGGACAGCATCAGGTCTCCCCATGAGAGCCTCACCCCACAGCACCTAGACCCCAACTGGGGCTGTGCTGGCTCCAGTGTCCCTGTACCCCATAGCCCCCCAAGGCTACCAGTGCTCTGCATTTCCCTCCCCAGTCCCCCGTCTCCCTCATACCTTCAGGGTTGTCCGTAGGTCCCGATTCGCACTTGGTCTCGCACTGCTGCATGCCGGGTGGCTGGAGGGTCTCCACACAGTCGCTGGACGGCTGCCCGGTGTGAGCCAGGCACTGGACGGATCTTCTTTGCTGGCCAAGGCCACACTGCGCAGAGCACTGTGGGGAAACAGCACAGCATGGAGCTGTGGTGGCTGCCATGGCTTTAATAACGTGGGGGGAGAAGGCACAGCCAGGTCTTAGGAGGTGCAAAGGGTGCTGGATGCAGTTGTCCCTTCCCTCACCAGCAGCTGCAGGGACCTTGCTGGTACGGCTGAGTGGGCGGCCCTGCTTCCTGAAAAGCTTGGTTCGAACCTCCAGGACTCAGCGAGGGTCTCTCCATCCAGCCCTAAATCACCAGCCTTTCCCAGGCCTCCTGCAACCCAGTGTCACCCTGCAGCTTGAGGGGTGTTAGAGGGAAGAGAGGACTGTCAGCATCACCCCGCTGTAGGCACCAGGCTGGGCTGTGGCAGGGGGACCAGCAGTGGCCCCGCTTGCAGCCAGCCCAGCCCGCCTTTGCAGCCCATTGCTCCCACTGCACTGCACTGCTCCCTGTCCTCACTGCCCTGCTGCCCCCCAGATACCCGTGGGGGCCCTCCAACAACTTCTGTGGGGCCCTGCTAGGCCCAGGAGACTCCATGAACCAGCTGTGCACTTGGGCCACCACCGCAATGGCCTCCTGAGCCAAAGGAGGGCAAAGAACTGCCACAGAGTTCTGCTGCCCCCCAGATAGTTGTGGTGGCCACATTGAGTTCTGCTGGCAGGTAAAAGCCTCGTGTGACTAGGATTTGAGGGGCTGGGGAGACAGAGTCTTCTTCAAAGACCTCATGGGAAGGATTGTCCCTACCTCTCCCCACTCGCCAGTCACCCAGCGTGGCGGTGGGCAGCGCCGCAGGTTGCACCTCATGCTGGTCGGTGGCTTGGAGCCTTCATAGCACTGGGAGGTGGGCAGAGTTGCACTGTGGTCACCACTCTTGCAGAGGACGATGCGGTGGCGGAAACCTGGTCCACAGCTTGGGGTGCACTGCAAAGAGAGGACACATGCGGTCAGGATGTATGGCAAAGAGCAGAGAGAGGCAGCACTGGCTCTCCCCACCAGTGCTCCCACCTTGCCTGTCTCCTGAGCTTCAAGACCATTTCCCACATTATGCTCTCCATGCAGCCATCGCTAATGCTCTGGCCTAGCGATTGACTCTGTCCCCCTAAGGACCAGTGCTATCAGAGAGGTGAGGGCCAATGTTAAGCACTTACCTCAGACCAGTCCAGAGCAACCCACTCTGGAGGACACGTCTGGTTATTGCAAGGCTCAAGCATCTTTGGCCGTGGATAGGTGCAAGAAGCATCATCCAAGGTCTTCTCTTCAGTGGCAGAGATCTTACGCTTGCAGAAGACACTGCGTGTGCGGACACCTTCATTGCAACTTCGGCTGCATTCAGACCAGTTCCCAATCACCCAGCTGGAGACAGGTAAAACAGCAAAGTTGTGAGGGGCACAGTGGTCCATGCTTGTCCCCATACTCCAGTACACAGCCCTGTTCCTACTCTGGCCACAGCCTCCCAGGCAGCTGTGGTTGAGTCAGAGTTCCTCCACATCTCCCTTTCCCCTTCAAGAGAGGGGCAAGGGCCAGCCAGGGAGGGGCTGGGACAATTTCTGAGGAACCACACTGAGTATCTGCTCTGCACCAAAGGACCAGATGGGGAGGGCTCCTTTCTGCAAGTAGCTCAGTAGCGCAGGGAGGAGGCCACGCTACAGAGACCATCCTCAGCCAACACACCATGTTCTTGGCACATCTCTCACCGAACAAGGCACAATGTAGCCTTGTGCACAGAGCACTGTGGTGAAGACAGGTTTCTACTCTCTGCATCACCACTGCCCCTTCCCCACAGCAATGCACTTGGGCTGTGCAGATTGTGCACTGTATTGTGCTCATGATGGGGCACAGAGGAGAAAACTGTCCCCCCTCTGCAGCAGAGCTGCTCTAGCCAGGTAGTGTTACCCCTGGGTACTGTGGCTGGGGACTCTGACTTGGGAATGGTAGAGAGGGGGCAATTTCACCCTCCTCCACACTGACTTTTCCACCCACACTCCCTTGATCTGCTCCAAGCTACGGTACTCACGCCGGGGGGCACGGTTCGGTATTGCACGGCCTCTGCCGCTCTGGCATTTTAGTTTCAGGGCTACAGAAATGGTTGAAGACAGTTGAGCCATCGGAAAGTTTCTTGCATACCACAGATTGGATCTGGCTGCCTGCCAAGAAAAAAGAGGCAAGGGGGAAAGAGAGGAGCACCCTGAGGCTAGTGCTGAGCCAGGCTGGAGGTACAAGCCCCACAGCTCGGCTCCCGCGTGGGCAACGTGACAGGGCAGCCACTTGTCACTGCACTTCATCAAGCCTGAATCTGCTTCTCTATTCATAACCAAGGCCTCCTTTGCTTCTAACATCTCCAGAAAAAAATGGAGTGAAGGCTCACCAGCCAGGGCACGACCTGGTAGAGTTTGCAGAGGATGGAGGATAAAAGTGTCCCAAGGACCTCATCCTCAGATAAACCTGTTCTAACCTTGGTCTTGTGACACTTTCTGGGTAGTACTGGGGGAATAGCTGGAAAAAGAGGTGGCGACCCTTTGTCAAGGCCTAGCACATAAAACGGGGCCATGGCCCTTAGCTTTAAACAGGGAACATTATTAAGCCTTGCTCTTGAAAGTGCCTCTTTCTCCTGAATACCAGCTCAGTCACTCACAGCCAGGAGACATGGCACAAACCTTTGTGTCAATCCCCACAAGAACTAGCCCAAGGGATTCAGGGAAGCATCAGTGGTGGTATAGTTCACAGACAATGTAGATCTGAAGGCCAGAGGGGCTGTTGTGACCAGCTAACCTGTTATGCATTACACAAGTAAATGAATTCCAAGCATACCATGCCACCTTCCATCACCTCTACCAACACCTGCGGTCCAGCCAAAGAATGGCATCCAGGTTGTTTGCCCTGACACTCTGCCCACAAGATCATGCTAACTGACACCAGCTCGCATGTGGCTGAGTGCAGGGTGGGAATATGTAGAAACTTGAGAGCTCCTTCAGAGCGAAGCAGATGTTAACATCTGTGCGCTGCCTCATGTGGCCCAGACACTGTGCATGGGTGTCACAGGAAGGCAGACACACGTGTTCCCCCCAGGTGACATGGGGTCAAACCTCACCCCCGGCACACAGCACTGAGCATTTGGTCCACGGGGTGTAGTGCCAGGAATACTGGTTCGAGGCATCCCTGCCAATGGGCGCATTGAACTTGTACCGGATCCCCTGCAGCTCTGTCCGCACAAGGACCTGCAAAGAAAGGCACCACCAAGGCATCAGTGCCACTGAAGTCCAGCATGGTCGTGACTGTCCAGATGGCATCCCACAACCTCAGGGCACTCTCTAAAATCCAGGGCAGCTGAAATCTCCCCCCCCCGCTTCCCTTTCCAGTCCCTTCCAGCATTGACATGGCAGCCACCAGTGATGACAGTAGTGCAGCCATGAAGGTGACATGATCAGAGATCATTCCAAAGCCTGCAGATTAGGGAGGGAGACCTGAGAATTTAGCCCAATTTACCCCTGCTCTCTGTGCCCATTTACTCCAGATAGCAAGGACAGGGACTGATTAGCTCCAATTCCCATCTAGTCACAGCAAGGTCTCTTTAGTCCAGACCAGGCCCATACCAGGTATGGGTATGAAGGAACCATGTTACCAACCATGACAAAGAGGGTGATGTTGGTGGGTCCCAAGGCCTCCAGGGACTCAGGCTCTTCTGGGGATCTCCTGTAGTGGAACGTTGTGCCTGCAATGTCAAAGCGCCGCGGTGGGTCGATGGAGAGCTTCCCATTGATGTAATACTCGCCGCTCTCCCCTCTCAGCGCTGTGAGGACAGGGGAGCAAGGATTAGCAGAAAGGCTGAATGCACCTGTATCCACCTTCGGCCAGGCGCTTCTCATCTGCCAGGCTCAGAGCGCTGCTACAACAGAGGGTAAATGTCATCAGCCTCATTTTACAGGGATGGAATAGGCGGGGCAAATAAAGTAGGTGCCTGGGTCAGGGTCACACAGAAAATCACTAGCAGAGGTGGGACCCATCATCTTGTCTCAGCCTGCCCGCCACCTCACTGGTGAAGGATGACACTGTGGGGAGCTCAGCCAGCTACCCGGGGTGGTGATGGGGACAACTGGCAGTGTGACATGCTGTGGCCATGAAGCCACGCTCAAATCCAGCTGTGCAAACTGGGTCTTGGCAGCTGGGGCTACTGGAGGAGGCTGGTCCCCAGGAGCCTGGCTGTGGTTGCCCAAGCGAGTCGCTAGAGGGGGATCGGCTCGCTTGCTCGTCCCCACTCGCATTCCCACGCTCTCCCTGCTTGCTCTCTGCCACCAACACCGCGCTGGCGCCCAGCCCTGCGTCACTCCTGCCCTCGCTGCTGGCAACGACCTCATTGCCATGATGTTCTGGGGCAGGGAGGATGCTTTGTACCGATGAGGATGCTCCCTCTGCTCCCACTGGGGTGCAGGGACAGATGCTGGAGTGGGAGAGACTGGTGGCAGTAATCAATAGTGATATGAACTTGGGCTGTGCCTCCAGTGCACAGAAATCCAGTCTGGATTGACATGAGGAGTCCCCGGTATACGTGGGCTGGGTACAGAGGGATGTTGGCATCTCCGAACCCAGCAAAGGGAGCTGGCCTGGAGGGATGCGGTCAGGAGAGCCCTGCTGTGATCTCCCACCAGTGCCAGCATCCAGGCAGGCTCCAGCTCCTGCAGAGCCACTGCAGAGGCACCCAGCAGCAAGCAGCAGTGAGCACCCCCCCCCATGATCACTGTCGATGGCTTGGAGGACAGGGGAAAGAAAAAAGCCCATTGTAAAAATGAGCTAGAGTCTGGCTGGAAAATTAAGCCCAAGGAAAATGTGAGCAGGTCTATTTTTAATTCCCAGCCCAACATGCTGGCGGAGGGGGGAATGCCAAGGAGCCACAGACAGTGCCAGGAACGGCGGGGTGTGGGGTTTGCTCAGGGTTACACTGCTGAACAGTGAGCACAGGACGGAGGCAGCGCTGCAGCGAGACAGGGGCTGTGCAGGCCACACCGATACGGCCCACGCTAGCCTGGGACGTGCTGTCCTGCTAGCAGGCCCGCTGCCTTCCTCTGCCCCCAACCCCAAGCTGAGACCCCCCCAACCCCATCCTCTGCTGCAGTGAGAGGTTTTCGTTGCTGGGCCTTTCCCACGCCCTATTAACTGCAGGGAAATGGCAGACCAAGGGGTGTCTGGCTGGGATTTCAGTATCCCCCAGCCCCATCTCACCTAGGTAGTTGATGGAGAGGTTCAGCTCCCGGATGTCGATGTGGACGGAGCCCTTGGGAATCTGGATCACCTTCTCGTAACCTGTGAGACAACCCGGGGCTGGTGAGCAGTGATGCTCAGCCTCCGAGCCCAGAGCCAACCCTGCCCTGGGCTGGATGGGAGTGTGTGCCACCCTGTTACCCATGGGTTAAACACTAAATGAGATGCTGGCAGTGCAGAGGTGTTCGTGCAGCCACCCACTGCAATTAAACGGAAAAAGCACTATGGCCCGCCAGGACAGTGGCTTGCTTGCTTTGCAGTGCAGGCTTTTGTGATCGGACCAGCCATGCTGGGGAGGTGCTGTGGAGCTGGGATCTCCAGGGGCATCTCCACAGCCTGGCTTGAGGGCAGCATGAGCTGCGGAGGAGGGAAGGAGCTTGGTGCTCTGTGCCAGAGACTTGGGTGCCAGGGGTGGCTGGGGAACAGCTTGGTTGGTGAACAGGAGTGATTTGCTCCCTGCTTGCAGCCTGGTCCTACCCTCTGGGGTGTTTCTCTGGGATATGTCCCTGCCTGTCCTGCACATCCCCAGGAGGAGGTGAAATTGAGGAGGGACTTGAGGGTGGGTGACGCTGGCTGCGCTGGCCAGGCTGCTTGCTCCCTACCTCCCTCCGGCAGAGACTGGTTGAAGACGCCCTCAACGGTCTCACAGGAGCTGCCGTCTCCCCCACACACGCGACACTTGTCCTCCTTTGAGTCAGAGCCCAGGACACGGTCACAGCCCACATGCTGGAGGAAGGAGCAGCAGGGAATTAGCCGTCCTGGTGGGGCCTTGTCCTTCCCACACCTAACCTGCAGCATCCCAGGGAGCCCATCCCTGGGCTCCACCTCACTCCCCTCCATTGCACCGTACAGCAGGCTGCGCTCAGCAACATCACCTCTGCCTAGCCCCATCTTTCTGCCCCTCCTCTCCAGGGAGAGCCCTGGGAGGTCTCTCTCCAGGGCTGGCGGGGGGCGGGGGTGAACGCATAAATCCTGTGACTGTGGGATAAGGCAGAGATCAGGGTGCCTGCCTTGAGCTGGTGGAGCTGCAGCAGCCCAAGGAGAGCTGCGTCCCTGCAGCACCAGCATCGCGGTAGAGAGCCCATGTGAAGCCTCTGGCTCTGCCCTGCTGCCACAGTACATGGGCTAGCAAGCGGGTTACCAGCACAGCTGTAGCTGCCTATGGTGCAATCCCCGCCTTTGTTCCACAGTATGTTCAGCCCCATAGAGACAAAAAGATCCCAGAGACACAGGAAGGGAGACAGACAGAGACAGAGAGGGAGCCTGTCTGCCTGCCTGCTGGGGGACATTTGCCACTCCCACAGCGCTTTCTTATAATTAAACTTTTATAGCCCTCCAGATCCCATTTCAAGGGAAGTATCAAGTGCCTGGGGCTACATAGGCTGTAAATGCAGAGACGCATTGCTAACGCAAGCCAATGTGGCAACTGGTGCATGGAGAGCGGAGAGGCACAAGTCCAGAGGTGGATGTGCTCCTGCTCCCACAGGTCAACCAGGAGCCCAGGCAGAAGGATGCCTGTGTCTGTGTGGGTGGGTGGAGGGCAGCACTCCCCTGCCCAAGGGCCTGCCCTTGCTTTCCCATCCCGAGTCTGTCCCAGACCCCGCCAGCACCTTGCACTCCCCGTTGACGCAGATATCGTTGGAGTCCTGCCGGCACGGCGTCCCATCCACCACGGCTGCAGCTCGTTCTGTGTAGAAGTTGAAGCCCTCGGCCAGGCAGTTGAGGGAACAGGCTTTCACACCCCCTGGGAAAGAAGCAGAGGTTCAGATGATGCTGCCAAGGAGAGAGAGGAAAGATGTGGCGAGCCAGAGCTGGATAACAGCCGCCTTACCCTCAGCCTCCCCATGCCTCCATCCTGTGCCTGGCCCACTGCACAGCTCCAGATGCTCAGGAGGATGTCCCTGTCTGTCCCTGCCAGGCAGAGGAACCCAGACACCTTCCTTATTGATCAGCACTGAGCCAAGACCCTTGAATTGGACACCAACACACGGTAAGACATTGTGCCTTCTGCACAGCCTGGGAAACATGGGCTGTATGTGACGGGGAAGGAAACAAACTGACTTGTTCTTATCTGGTGTCGGTCACTCCTGGGTCTCCTGGCACTTTACAAGGGCTGTTGACACCCTTGTGCCCATTTTACAGACAGGGAAACTGAGGCAGCAGCTCTTAAGCAACTTGTCCAAAGTTTTTCAGCTCCTAGACCAGTTACTAGGCCAGAGCAACCACTTCTTTCTGTTCAAGGCTGGTGGATACTGAGTCCTTCACAGCAAAGACAATGACAGCAGCATGAGGCCAAAGGGGAAGGATGCTCAAGCTATAGCTAAATTACTGGCTTCGCAACACCCCTTGCCAAAGCACCGTCTAAGGAAGAGAGACTGGATATCTGTATATTGGCTTATGGTGTCCGGGAACAGGATGTGGGACTGGTTATGGAAGGAGACACCTGAGCAGTGCAGTTTCCTGCCTCCTGTCATTGGATTTTATCAAATGCAGGTGCAGACTGTGGCATTTGCTGCCTTTACTGAGCATGCCAAGGAGACCCAACAGCCTGCATGACCCTGGCAGAGAGATGCATGCCTGAGCTGTGGCAGTTCACTCCTGCAGGCACCGGCAACAGTTGTGAGCCATGTGCCAGAGCTGGGAAGCACCTAGGTTGGGAGCAACCGAAATCTGCAAAACTTGCAACTTGATACAGCACATCAAATGGGCAGATGGAGGGGAGGGGTGGCCCAGCTGTGCCCTGGAGCACCCACACGCAGCTGGGGGGAAGAAAGAGCAAAGCCAGGAGAGGGAGGAACAGGAGGAGACATGAGAGGGGAATTCAGCAGCTTGGAGGCATGCTGTCGAGCAGGATGCCTGGACAAGCCCCTAGAGAAGGTGCTCAAACAACCCTCCCCCTGGAGAGCCAACCCTCTCTGCAGCACCTCAGGCTCTCTCCTGCCTGGCGAGGGAGCTCCAGGGCCACCGAAGGTGACAGCGCAGGCATGACCCCGAAAACTCACAGCCATCTAACCACAGCATGCCTGAGCCCCTGGTCTGTCCAGCCAGACCTCAGGTGCAAAACATCACCAGCACGGCAAGAAAACACGAGTCACGAGGGACCTATGCTGGCTGCAGAATCTCCCAGCTTGGAGAGAGAGTACCACTGAGTCCCACCACCAACTGCACACCCCAAGCATTAAACTGTCCCACCAGCCTGGGAGAGGGGCTTGTGCTGGCCCTTCCCGAGATGTATCTGTGATTTAGCCAGTGCTTGCTGGCTCGGGAACATCTCTCCTGCTAGTGGCCTCGCTCCTGGCAGCCCAGCCGTGTGCTCCGTCGGCTGCGTGGGACCCTTCGTCCCTGCTCACATGCAGCTCTAGGGCCACGCTCAATCCTGCCATCACTGGAGTGCAGGGCAGACTATGCAATGAAGCAGAGTTGAGAAACAGCCAGAAACTTGGGCTTTTGTTTCAGAGTTCTCAGATGGGTTTGCTAAGCTATTCACACGCACTCCCTAATCCCTTCCTTGTCTCCAGCTACAAGGAAAAGCAAGACCCATTGCAGACACCTTGCAGTTCCCTGGTGGGCAGCCAACCTCTGCCACAGCCTGTTTCTGCCTCTCTGCCAGCCCTGGTTCCATTTTAGTAGCTCCCAATCAGCTACATGATCCTGCTTTCTATCATAACTCCTCACTGCTGCTGCCCTATGCCCAGCCTCCTCCAGCAGCAAAGCAGCCCTGAGTGTAATCATCACAGCCTTGAAAGAGGAGCCCGTGGGGAAAACTGGAATAAAAAAATATAACAAGTCAGAGGAAAAATAAAAAAAAAAAGAAAGAAAAGAGGGAAAATAAAAGATTGGGGATTGGCGGCATGAGGCCATATTTCTTCCTTTGCCTTAAGTGCCTGACTTTGTTACTGGGCTGCAAAAATGGTGTGAGAGCATGAACTCAGCTCATTGCAGAGCCAGGGGTGTCCACAAGGGTTTCCTCATTGCCCTCCCCTTGCTGGAGCCCAGGAGGATCCATGTGTGTGCACATATGTGCATGCACGCTTAAATCCCTAACAATTTAACCTTCTTTTGAGGTGAGATCAGCAGAGATGGAGGAAAGCGTGTGGAAGAGAGCAAGCCCTCAATGCTGGGACAGCTGCCCCAGTTCCAGCCTGTCACTGGCAAAGACCCATCACTGCTGATGCAGGCCCTATATCCTGGTGGCGCCGAGCATCTCATGTGCACAGAGGGAGCCTGGGTAGCAACTGCTGAGCAGGGGGAACTCAGCACCCATCACCTTCCTGCCTGCAAGAGCTGACAGCGGGTGCTGGACTTGGGGGTCCATGCACAAAGCTGGGACTTGGGGTCCTGTGGTCATGCTGCCACCCAGCTGCTGCTTCACATCGGACAAATCCCTACTGGTTCTCCTCATCTGGCCACTTAGGAAAAGCTTGCAGATGGAGAATTGCTGCCCTTAAAAGAAAAAGTCCTACGGAACAGAAATGGGGAGAGGGAGAATGAAGGAGGGGGGAGAGAGATGGACAACCTTGCATTGGTACTGCATCCTGATTGTGACTGCTCCAGCGAGCCAGCTGGGCCACCCGAGCTCAGGACCAGTCTCCAACACACCTTCCCTGGTGACAATTTCCAGGCAGGATTTGCCTTTGGCAGCCACGTCACCCTCCCACTGATCAGAGGAAAGGGGGCCTGGTATCACTGCCCAGTGTCTGTTAGGAACTGCAGTTTCCTTGGCGCTTAGCTGGCCAAGAGGTACTCAGATGGTCTGGGCATCACCTTGTCCTTGTTAAGGTGGTTCCTTAAAAAGGCAGCTTTCTAAAGCCCTAGACCAGTGACAACTCTGTGTCCCCACAACAGCAACACTGACCACAGCAAACAGGGTGAATTTCAGACCCCAGAAAGATCCTTTGAAACAGCACGACACGCCTTGACATTCCTGGAGACGGGAATTAAGGACTGTATTTTCAACAGCAGCCAGGATCCAGACCCTCCTCTCCCAGCACGTGAACTATCTGGTGGGAGCTGCGCTTTTTGAGGTGGAAGCGTTAGGTCTGGCTGAGCAAGGCAGTGCTCTATGTCTTTCCAGGCCAGCTCACTGCTGCCCAGTGATACCCACATCCACAGGGAGTGGGATCCTCAGCACAAGCCCCATGGGGCATTTAGCAGCAAAGAGGCAGGAGAGGCTCTACAGTGCCTGTTGTCACCTGTGCAAGGTGGGTCCACCACCATGGGAGAAGAGCCCACTTCCACAGAAAGAGTGGGACCCCCTTAGCCTGCCCACTGCCTAATGTTACTATTAATTGACTGGGAAACAAGCAGCAGACAAGACCATACAACCCTAAAGAGCACAGGGCCTGACATAAACACTGATCAGGTCCCCAGTCCCCTGCTCCCAGAGAGGCAAACCCCCCGGTCATGCATGGGCCCACAGAGAGCTGCCCACCCTTCGCTTTGGGCTTAGTCCAAGGTACTGCTTTTAATCTTTAATATAGCTATTAAAATAGAATAGAATAGAATATTTTCAGTTGGCTACGCAGTGCCTCAGAGGATGTTTTGCTCCTCCTGCCTGCCCTGTCCCATAGAGGAATTAAAGCGCATTACAATTTATGACGAGCAATCTCCTGTTTTCTGCAAGCCCCTGCTCCTCCCCATCTCTCTCCCAGCCCCGTGAGCTGCTCCACTCTCCCTTGGCTCTTGCATCCGCCAAGAGCAAAATGAATAACTAAGCGAATAAAGCAAAATAAACAAACAATTAAAGCCGCGTTCCACGAGGTATCTGCTGACTGTTGAGCTCCAAAAGGCTGAGCTCAGCGCTTCTTGCTGGGGCTGTGTCTTGCGATCCCGGGGTCTGGGCTCCAGGACTGTTATAAATCACCTCCAGGAAAACACGCTGTACCAGCCCTGTGCAAAACCCAACCTCAACTTGCCAGTGACCCGGTGGCTGGCGTCAGGCTTTCAGTGGGTGGCTCCTTCCCATCCCAAATTCCCTGCGGGATCGGTGTCCTCCCCCATCAAAGCCAGCAGGGTATTCTTTGTCTTCAGGGTGGGGGTGCTTCGTGCCTAGGACACTTCCCTGAACCGATGTGGGGCCAGTGCCTGATGGGCAAATGGCACAAGCACCCCTGCACCACCGCTTCTTTCGGCAAGGAGGTGGCTCAAGTGTGCAGTGCCAAAGGCAGCGGCTGAACTGAGCAGGGGAAGAGGCTCAGCAGAGGGCCAGGGTGGTGAATGGCTCCCAAAGCAGGGACACGTGCCCAAAAGCAACCTGAAGAGCAGATATGCTACCAGCTGGAGGGCGGAATGCCTGGGGACGAGGCTGCCAACAAGGATGGATCCTGGGGGGCTGCTTGTGCTAGTAGGGAGGGAGGGACTGACATGCACCACTCCAGAGCAATCTGGGCACCACTGGAAGAGGCCAGGAGGGACTGAGGGAGATGATGGCCAGCCCGCATTGCCTCCTCGATGCTGGGGTAGGGATGCCTTCTAGCACAGGGGCTGCAGGGAGAAAACACGGGTCCTGAGAGCAAAACACCCGTGGCAAGGGCAAGACAAGAGGGGGCTGTTCCCTGGGGGTCTGATCTATGACATGGAGAGGGTGGAGGTGCAAGGGACGCTCCCTGCCTCCCCCACACATGTACCTCTGACACCCAAATGACACCAAGTATCACAAAATCCTGCAGGAAAGTGAAGATGCAAGTACTCATGCTGGTAAAGTCATAGTCATAGAATCATGGAGAGGTTTGGGTTGGAAGGGACCTTCAAAGACCATCTAGTCCAACCTCCACCCCTTGCCGTGGGCAGGGACATCTTCCACTAGATCAGGTTGCTCAAACCCCGTCCAATCTGACCTTGAAAACTTCCAGGGATGAGGCACCCACAACTTTTCTGGGCAACCTGTTTCAGTGTCTCACCACCCTCATCATACACTGTTTCTTCCTTATGTCCACTCTAAACCTACCCTCTTTCTGTTTAAGACTGTTGCCCCTTGTCCTGTCACTATAGGCCTTGGTAAAATGTCTCTCTCCATCTTTTTTATTGAACAGCTGCAATCAGGTCTCCCCAATCCTGACCAGAGCATCCAGATTTGGGCAAAGAATTTTGTAGGTGGAGGGGAACGGTGATGACACCTTACCACCTCCACAGTCCCAACTGATCTGAGGGTCCAGTGTGGACAGCCCATGCCATGAAGAGTTGATTCTGCTAATCCCAGCTGACAGCTCCCAGGCAGGTGGGTGTCAGCACACATGATTTCTTGAGAGCTGGGAGACGGCCACTCTGCTGGCCAGGGGCTTGGCTCCCAGAACAGGCTGAGGAGCTGCAGCTTCTAGCACCTCTCTACACAAGTGAATGTGCCTCAGTTTCCCTACCTGGGCCACCTCAGAGGAAGACAGTGATACCCTTTGACACTGAATAAACAAAACAAAACTGCTAAACAGCACGGCTCCTCGTGACCATTACCCACAGCCAACCTGGAGAGCTGAGACAGGTCACTCCCAGATCCCTTCAAGACACGATCATGCCAACGCTCACAGCCTCCTGGGAAGGGGACAGGCTTCATCACCTTATTTTATGGAAGAGGAAGCTGAAGCAGAGGGAGAGGAAGGGGCTTTTTTTGAAAGCCGAAGCAAAAATCAGTGTCAGAGTCAGATTACAATTCAAGGGCTGATGTTCAACCGGCCAACCGTCCCCTGGACTCAAACCACTGGGCCATGCCTGGGGAAGAGAGAGGTCTGAGCAAGGGCAGATCCAGCCTGCGGGGCTGTCTTCTACCTTGGCATCCACTGGGGTCTTTGTGTGACTTACTGCTTTGCAATTTTATTACATTTTTATTGATCCATCCCCTGCAGCCTCAGCACATCTGCTCCAGCTGCAGGAGCCCCACTGGGAGGTGTGCTTATTTACACAGCTGTGAAGGATTTCCCCAGTCAAGTTCATTAACTACATGAAGGAGACGCGCTGTTCTTTCTCATTATTAAGAGATTTCTGCCACAGAAGCCTCCTCCCGCCTCCTCTCCTCGCTAGACATTTCTGCAGGACACAGGAGGACTGACCTCGGGAAGAAGGGAGCACTGCTCTTTGGAGGATCCACCAGTTCGCATCCCTTCCGCCTGTGCAGGAGCTGGAGCTTTACCTGCCTGTGCAGAGAGGGTTGCCCTGTTTTCTCCCCATCAGGTACCAGACACTAACAACTCCCTTTTCTTGTCTTCCTCTTTGCTCCCTCAGCAGTTAAGGAAACAGACTTGAGGAAAGAAACTAACAACTCCGATGCTGCTGGGATTGTTTCTGGCAGAGCAATGAAGTTAAAGGGCAATAGTACAGGGGTAAGTAAGTGACTCAGGTTGGGGGGCATGGCAGGATGGTCATGGGCCAGGCGCCTGGAGGGATGCACATCGATCCGCAGTCGTGCAAGGGGGAGGCAGCACGCCCCAGGAACACGGAGTGGGCAGCCTGCGGGAACTGGGCTAGCAGAGGTGGTGACTAACTGCCCACCAGACCATGAGACCTGTCCTTGCAGAGAGTGGGGGACAGCAAAGCCATGCATAGCCCTGAGCCAATTCTGCCTGAGCCAAGGGATGCTCAGCCCAGTCCCAGCACTCACCTCCACGGTATGTCTTCCAGGTGTAGTACTTCCCTCGGAAGGGGACGTTATCGAATTCGGCACACTGCAGCTCTCGGAAGTCCTGGGAGCCCGGCGGGCAGTCCTGCAGCCACACAGCCAGCAATCAGTGTGTTGGCAGGAGCAGCCTGCCTTATCAGCTAGGAGGGCAGGAGCTGCTACAGAGCTCCCAGCTGCAACTAACACCAGCCCTTCAAGGAAATGGACACCAGCCCTGACAACTGGACACTGCTACAGTATGGCAGGAACATCCTTCCTGCAAAGCTAAACACTATCTGAAGATGAACGGCATGAGCCCTTGGGCCCCAGCTTGTCTGTCTGCAGATGCAACACTTGCTCTTGTGAGCAATCCTTTAAAAGCTAGGTGCAAAGCCCAGGGGAAGCAATGGGGAGCCATTTATTTTCCTCACTACCAGCCTGCGGATGTTAAAGCTACCACTTCCCAGGTCCAAAGCTTCATTGATCTTCCCTGCAGCACAGCTATTTCTCTGCTCCCCTTGAGGTTTAACCCTGGGAAGCAGGGTGCTATACCGCATTTCGTGAGCCACTCTCACCTGACCAGGCCTGCACTTGCAGCGTATGAGAGGCAATCGCTGTCATGTCAGTGCTGGAAGCCTCTGATCTCTCCTCCTTTGCCTTGTTATCTTTTCGGGCCCCTTCTTGATGCTGAAGCCCTGCAGGGACGTACCGCCCACCCGCCCTCTGAGCCAGCTTGCAGCTGGTGTAGGCGTGCATCGTCCTGTTTGGCTTTCCCCATTGCAGGATTGCTGCCGGCACAGCGTGGCTCACCCCTACCCAGCTGCCTTCTCCTGTGGGTCCCACAGCTGCACATAACGCCCCACATCCATGCAGAGAGGGCTCATCCCCACCTCCCTGTTGCGACACAGAGCTGCCTGCCCCACTGGCAAAGCCCTGCTAGCCCACCGCTGCTCCTCTCCCCGAGCCTGGCAGTACTCACATCGGTGTTGCAGGACCGGTACCGTTTCCGCTCTCCCAGGCAGTACTTTCCTCCGATTGTGGGCCTGCCAAACCAAGAACAAGACGGGAGAACCAGCTTAGGGCAGTGAGCCACGTTTGTAGCAGGTGGCTGCCCCAAGTTTGCAGGAGCACCATGGCTTTTCCCAACCCTGCTCTGCTGCAAGGATGGATCCCGCCTGGAGGGGCTGCTGCAGAAGCGCAGTGCCCCAGCTGACTTCACATGCTCAGCTGCAAGTGCACAGTGGAGTTGTACAAGTGGCTTTGGGTCTGTGGCTGCAGACCCAACACCAAAGCAAGAGCACCTAGCTGCTGTGAAAGCGGGACATGGGATTTGTGTGCGGGAGTCAAGATCTTCCCAGGACCTCAGTGCAGAGCTGCACAGGCACCTGGCTGCTGCCTTCCCCATTGACCTGAACAGTGATGCCGTAGAGCCAGGACAAGGCAGGGCCATGCCAACACAACCACACACATGTACACCTACCGCGGGCTGTCACAATGGCGAATGGATGACGATACGCCTCCGCCGCACGTCCTGCTGCACTCTCCCCAGGACGACCAGGCTCCCCAGGCACCATCCACCCCCTCCGGTCGGGTGCCAAAAGGCACACACTCCCTCTTGTAGCACCACTGCGGAAAGACAGCTTTAAACACCCTGAGCCAAGGTCTTGTCCTCCCAGAGCGCTCCCCAGCCTCCATCAGACATGGCAGCCAGTTTAGGGCTGGGATCTGATTTGATCCTGTGAAATCTGAACTCAGAGGTGTGCTGGCCTTGGAGCCAAGTTCTCCATTGCAGAGGGCATTCTCCTCTCCCTGGGTACCCTCTCCTCTGAGTCACTCTGTCACCATTTGCACACGCTGCGTACTCGGGGTTCACAGGGGTGGTGGGACCAGTGCCCCCCTTCCCAAACCCCAGTGCACGATCCTGTGAGGAAGACAGCCATGGGCAAGTGGGTCACCTTCCCACTTCTCCTCTAAAGGGGTCCTGGGCACTTGGGTCGATCAGGGTGACACATTGTGAACAGGGACACGTAAAAGCACGCATCTCACTGCCTATAAAAGCATGCAGCAGTGAGTCCCAGGTGGGACTTGGACTGGAGCTGCTGCTGCTGGGCAGCAGGGCCAGGATCCCTGGGGGGCACGGACACCTCTACCGCCAGCTGCTCCCTCCCAGGATGGAGTGAGTTTTGTATGTGTACTTGGAGCTCAAGTTGTGGTTAATATGTTAAAATGACCCGATCTGCAAAGGGTCCAGGCTAAAATGAAGTTTTGATTGTAATAACAACGTTGTTGTGTCATTGTTCTGCTGAGGATCCTTAAAGAATCCGCCTGCCCCCATCCTATTGGGTGACAGATGCTCACAGAAACTTGCCTATGAAATATTTCCCTTGGACCTGGAAAGCGTCCTGCACCCCCTGGAGTCAACAGTGATGCAAGGAGCAGGACACTGCCAGACCTGCTGCCGTTCTCCGGGCACGGTGCCGGACACCATGCCTCAGGGGCTGAGATAATCCCAGGAAGGAAGAAACCGCTGTGCGCTCCTTCCAGGGGCTGATAACCCACCCTGGAGCTGCTGGCACGGCCTCTCCCAGCTCTTTCTGAGCCAGGCTCTCCATGGGCAGCACAGCCAGCAGGGAAAAATGAACCATGACCTCCCAGGACACTCAGCTAGTGACCTCCTTGCACACCAGTGCCTTTCCAAAGGTGAGGACCCATGCAGAGGAGATCCTCTGCAGGCACAGCCTTTCTGGTGTCCCTGCTATTGCTCCAGACGGGAGGTACTGGAGCTGCTGCTTCTGCAGGCAGGACCCAGGAGCCTAACCAGCCCCTGCAAACCCCACCATGCACTCAGGGCTCCTGCAAGCATCAGCGATGGGCTCTGACCTTGCACCCTGGCTGCTGGGAGCAGACCCTGGCTCGGTCTCCTGCGGCAAGCACAGACGTGTGCTGGCTGTGAGACCAGATATGAGCTGGGGGCGTGTGGGGAGGGAGGATGCGTAATGAAAGGCATCCTCACAGGGTGCGCTGATCATAACCTGTGTAACAAGTGCTTGATTAATGAAAATTTAAAAAAAAAAAAAGAGAAAAGAAAACCAAAACAGGCAGGGAAGGAGCCAGCAAGACAGTGAACCTGCTATCTGAGCAGCCAGGCTGCTGGGGGCACCCCTAAGGCAGCAGAAACTACCACCAGATCCAGGCCTGAAGTCACTCACTGTGGGTTCTTGGGGTAAAACAGGTGAAGCCATAACAACCACAGGGAATCAGTTAAAAAAAAAAAAAAAAAAGAATTTGGGAGGAAGAAACTACCAGAGGTCTGGGATGTGGGCACCACCCAACAGAGCTTGGCTCAGTCTTTCCCCCACACTGCTTCCCCAGCTGGGTGGCAGAGCTCAGAAACTCACCCTATCTCTCCTTTAATCTCACATACCTTAAATAGGTTCTATGCCCTGATCCTTCCCTCTGCTCTCCCCAGCTAGAAAGGGAGAAGCCAGGGAACACCTCAGAGAGCTTCTCCAGCCAAGGGTTGAGGTCTGAGGGCTCACCTGGCTGGCAAGCGCAGGGGCCACCAGCCAGGAGCTCCAGCTGGTGAAGGTGCAGAAGCTTAATAGAAAGGTGCATCTTCTTTCACCCAAGGATATCAAGTCACTTCTAAAGCATGAATTAATACCAAAGGATAAACAGATGCACAGGAAGGTAACTGGGGGTTCAAACTGAGTCAGTATCTTCACTGGGAATAGCTCCCATGAGTCCTGGGTGCTGTGACTGCTTGTCACTTCACTTCTCTTAAGACTTTTGAAGAACTCTGGTTAAAAAACAACTAGTAAGTGGGGAAAAAAGAGATATTTAAAAGTGGGAAAAGCTGGTAAAAAAAGATGACTAGTAGAAAAAAATTGCCATTGTATATGGTGAATCAGGGGATTGTTTGATTGCAGCAGGAATGTTCAGCCCCAGGAGCTACCTACTCCTTTTCAACCTAATTTCCAGCAGAACTAAGATGACTGTTTGCAAAGAATAATGCATTTGTCAAAGCCATCCTCTTTCCTGCACATCAGCTTCTCCAGCTTCCTAAGAATTTGAAATTATTCTTTAATTTCTTAGGAATTATTTTTCCTCTAGTGGAAAAACACATGCCCATTTAATGGAGAATGTCCCAGCCCCAATTCTCCATTGTCCCTATTATTACTCGGTTTGCAAAGGCACTTTGTTTTAACAGCGCTACACACTCGCTTTATATTGGCACAAACAGGTGTAGGAGATGCAGGGAACAAAGCAGTACGAAAAATCAAGTCAAAATTCACTTTCAAAGTAGATGGTGATGAAAAATCCTACCCTCCTCTCTGAACTGAGTCTGAAAAATGAAGGTTTCATCATATCTAGCCTTGCAAGGCAATTTTTCACAAGTTCCTCTGAAAGCATGTTACAAACCCACTGTCCCTCCTGGGGAAAAGGGCAAAAATCGCTTTTCTCAGGACAGCCAGGAGACCTCAGCAGACCTGAGAACAAGATGTTCATCTACAGCATATGGCATTGCTTGAGGTCACCTTACGGTGCCTCCTAGGTGAGACCAAGAAGCTCACTGGAGCAGGGACTTCATATTCTGCATTTCCAGCAACATGCAAGATGATCTGTACTTTGGGGTGATTACAGACCCCTGGGCTCCTTGGCACATCCCAGCCTCCCCTCGTGCTGGCGAGGAGGGTGGGGGTGGCTCCAGGTTCTGGGAGGCAGGGGAGGACAGGCTGATGGGTGCTCTTAAATCAACTCCGTGCCCACCAACACAAACAATAATCCCAGTTATCGCTGGAGGAGGGGATTCAACCATTCACTGTCAACTCGCTGTGGTGCCCTGAGCTTCCTTACCCCCTTTTCAATGGTGTTGGTTTGGCATATGGTCCCCTCAGCAGCAGGGATGCTGTTGGTTATGCAGCGGTTGCTTTTACTCAGACACCATAACTCACTGCAGACTTCCTGGAAAGAGAAAGATTTTGGGGAAGAGAGGGGGAGGGAGGAAGAAAGAGACAAAGAAACAAAGCCAAGGTTAGGATTCACTTGTGCTAGGGGCTGCAAGGCTGGGGCAGCAACATGCCGGTGTGCTTGAGAAGCACCAGCTGGGCTGGGACACAGGGACAGGAGTGTTTTCAGCATGGTGGGGGGAAAATGAGATGAAATCTTGGAAGGTGTTGCCAGCTGCAGTCACCCCAAGGCCACTGACAGCTCACCCTCTGACAGCTCTCCTCTCTGGACTAAGCCTAAGCACTTCTCCTGTGGCTGGGGTTCTCTGGATTTGGAGGTTCTACTGCGCTCAGGTACCAGAGCTGGTTCCGAAGCCAGCCCGCACAGCCAAACTTGGTCTTTGTGACACAGAGGACACATCTCCTTGGACATCCCGGTGAGGCCCGAGCTGATCCTGCTGTGCTCCACCTGACCCCTCTCCCCAGGACTGAGGGATGCTCTCTTTTTTGGGTCTGTGCAGTGGAGGCCAAGCACAAGGGCCCATTCCTAGCACCTGCCATGAGCATCCATACACCACATGGGTCCAGATCTGCCTCTGCAGGAAGCTGGGACTCCCTGGGAGCATCAACACAGCACATCTGTCATCTGCTACAGGAATGTACTGCAGGTCACAGTGTGACTGTCTTGTGTACTGGCAATCTGCAGCCACCCTAACAGTCCTAAAAGAGAAGACTCCTCTGGAAGATTCAGAGCCATTTTCAGAATAATCAGAATAACACCAGATACTGAGCTAGCCCTTCAGCAGTTCCAGAAGTGGGCACTTCTGCTCTCTGGCTCTGCTAGGTGCAGTTGGGTCCACAAAGTGGGCTGGGCTGAGGACTCCAGAGCTCTTTCCAGGAGGTTTCCTGAGCCGCAGATCCTGAGCTTTCAGCCCATCCTGACCTCTCAAATCATGAGCAAACAAAAAGCTTCTCTTGGCTGTTCCAGAACCCACCCAAAAGTCAGGTTCACGACACAGACTCTGCAAAGTTGTCACACCTGCTAAATCAGAAAGTCCAGGCCCTTTGAAACGGCTCTGCCACTAAATCAGCCAGGCTGGACTTCAACACCTGCAAACTGCAAAGCAACACCTAAAATCCAGAGCTGAGTTTCCTGCCAGTCACCATCCTGCTCCTATTACTACTGAAACAAGCCTATGGAAAAACTTGCTGCTGATTTCAGAGAGCAGCGTGCTGTGACTTAGGCTATACATGAAAGTATTGAACAGGTTCACATTGTCAATGAAGGAAACAATCTTGAGATGTGAGAGCAGAGCCCGAACAGCCACGGCTGCTGCTAATGTGCTCCCAGCACACACTGGTGCCACTGTCGGTGCACACCAATGCTGCGGCATGGGCTGAAGGACCCGGCATGCTCTGTGCTGCATGCTCTGGTGCCAGCACAGCGACCGCCTAGCCTCCTGCTTGCCCCTATGGCAGCATGACCTACAAGACAGCTCCTGCAGGCTGCCTGCCTCCAGTCAGGTAGCAGCCTGTTCATCACCCCTCCGGGCTTGGTTCAGCCTTGCAGCAAGGCATTCCTCCACCCCACCAACCAAGGGCTGTGCTCTAAACATTAACCGATATCCCCGCAGGATGAACTGACTCAATGACTGGGAATCCTTTGTGCTGGTATGAAGAAGGGTGAAAAGATGAGCTCAAGATTTCTCTGCTTCCCTCCTGTTCCTGGGGTTGTGATAGCAGAGTGCCACGGGGTGAGCCAGTAAAGGAAAATACTGCGGAGTCTGCGCTGAGGACCGCAGCTCCGAGACACAAAGGGATTTTGGTTCCCAACTCCTTTGCCAAAGCCCAGCTGCAGCTGGTTTTAACCAGTGAAAGGAGAAAGTCTTCCCATCTTCAAAAGGCATCTACCCCTCCATACTGCTCTTGAAGAGCCAGCCTGACTATTGGGAAATAGGAGCTCATGTATAGTCTCTGCTCTCTGCGTCACCAAGGGAGAGGACTTCCCAGCTTCAACCAGTGACATCTGTTCACTCTGTCCCCATTATACCTATTAATCATCTGCTCTGTATTGGCATGGAGGAAGGGATGCTGCTGTGTTTGCACCATCACCCTGGAGTTTGTTTATATGAGGCACAGGATGGGTGGACTTACACATTTACCCAGCTTTATCTGCACATGCTTGAGCCCTTATGCCCTTTGGGTTTCTCCCAAACAGCACACAAGACTGGGCTAGAAGGGTCATCACAAGGACATCTTGTGCTTTTGTGATCCTTGTATATATACAGGAAGCGTCTGCCCAAGTTAAAAATCAGCTGCGAAACAGGCATGTAAATGTGGAAAGTTTCCATTCCACTGCCTCTAGCTCAGCTGAGGAGGGGCACAGACCGCAGATAGTAGCACCTGACATCAGATACCACAACCATGTTATTTGGACCCAGACTTCTGCTGCTGCTCTGGGTGCCTCATGAGACTGCATCTGCCGCATGTCCAGTGGGCTCTGGGCCCCTGGGCCATGTTGAAAGAGCACTGGACCAGGGAGAGCCAAACTTTGCCCTTTATTCACCAAGATGAGCTGGTGAGAACACCAGGAGGTGGTTTAGTGTTTAACCATACTAAATAGACAAACACTCAGAGTGATAAGCTGGTTCACATCAGGTCACTTCAATGGCAGCATTGGGCTTATATTTACATGGTTTCAAGAGAAACTAAACTGTGGTCTGATATGTTTCCTCCTTCACAGCTTTCCAGGGCTTGGACTGGGGTGGGTACACATACATGTGTGTCCATCAGACAACAAGCTGCCCATGTATCTCACTGCTGGCTCCTCTGTTTTCTCTAGAGTAAAGTGGATGTGTTAAGGAGTTCAATTAGTTCAGTGCAGATGCTTCCCCCTCACCACTATGCTCAGATAGTTGGCAATGTCCAGTAGGTTAAGAACAGCAAAACGTCAGGCTGAGATCCAGGAAGACTCTTTTCTCCTGAAATAACCTTTCCTTTCAGTGGTTTCCTGGATTCAAAGATCAGGGGGTGGCAGCGTGATGGCAGGGGTGGCTTAGGTGGGCAGCTGTCCCTCAGACATACCTACAGCACATCAACCCACCTCATCTGGAAGAAAGATGTTTCTCCTCCTAAGTTTGTGCGAGCAGTATAATGACTTCTAGTAAGGATTATGAAAAATATGTATGTACAAAGCCTCACTGAGAAGGGAGTCTGGATGAAGGGACTGCAGCTTGGCTTTCAGCTGCAACCCTTGGGGACCAGCAGCAGCCAAGGTATCAGGCAGAGGCAAGAGATCTCTTCCCATGGGACTAATTTGACCGAAACTGAGCTGCGGTCAACATTTGTGGATGGTAAACAACTTCCCCTGTCCTCTCACAGGGAAGCAAGGCAAAAAGCTCACAGGGAACATGCCAGTGCCCTTCATTTGAAGCAGGACAGCAAAGCGATGTGGGCAGCAGAGGAATGGCCCCACGGCCCTTTGCCCTTGTAGCCCCCGTCCTCCACCCCCTGGGAACCGATAGTAAAGCAGGAAGGCTCTCTACCCCGTATTTACACTGGCGAGATTTAACTCCGTACTGGAAACGGCACTGCTCATCTGCATCGTAGGCCTGTCCTGGAGCCACGGTTGGGTAGATAAAGTCTTGCTTGGGAGGAGCATTGTTCAGGCATAATCCCATCCCAGAGCTGGAAACAAGAAATGAGAATCAGAGCTCAGAAAGGCTTGTAGGAGAGTGTCGCGGTGGAGGACCAGCAGCAGGCACTCCCAGCTCCACACAGGGCTGAGCTCTCACATGCTTGACTGCTTGGGGGGGATAACTCTACCAGCCTCCTCTGGGCAAAACTGCTGCTGAGAAAGTGCTCTGAAGTCTTTCTATCTGTGCCCTCAGGGCTGGGAAGCACATGCTGGTTCCTACATAACTCTAGAAGTTTTAATCTGAGGGTTTTGCGTGCTATCGCCAGCGCCTGGCTGTCCCCACAGGTTCCAGGGCCAGCAGACAGAGCGTGACAGCATGCAGGCAGGCGTGTGCCCAGGACCCTTGCGTGGGCAGCGGGTAGGCAGAGGGGCTGCCCTCCCACCCCGTGGCTGCAGAGCCCCAGCTGAGAGCAACCAGAGGTGCCGAGCACAGAGAGCCCCTGCTCTCCAAGCCTGTCCTTCTGCATGCCAGAGCTTTGTAGGAGCGTCCAAATTTTGCAAGGAACACGCCTTTCCCTCCCCCTTCCTTGCTGCTCTCTGAGCTCTCCCTAAATCAAGGCCCCTGTCACCACTCCCCCAGCCCCAAATCCCAGGGTCTTGCATGCACCACAGTCCCATCCTGGCACAGGCTCCTGGGGCTGCGCTCAGGCGGGGGTGGCCAGCATAAACCATGGAGAAGGACGACATGAACTCGCCGTCCTCTGCCAGCCCTGCCGAGACCTCGGGGTTACCTGAGGACAAGGCAGCCTCCGCTGCGGCACTTTCCCGGCACTGTCCATGCAACATGTTTTGCTGTGGTGCATGTCCAGGGGTCAAGAGCAAGGGGGACAGGTTTTACTGTGGCCAAACGCGAGCCACCACATGCGGGATTTGGTGATGAGCCATGCGGTTTAGCTAAGCTTTGCTAGACAGTGAGGCAGATGGCAGCCCTTTGGGGAGGGCTGCCTTCACTGCTTCTCTTGCAGTGTTCCAACAGTAGTGTCACAGCAGCATCCACCAGTAGAGGTCTGGTATTCAGACTCCCTGGGGACTTCCCTGAACAGTGACGCCACATACTTGCTTCTTCCAATCATGACTCAAGTCCTATCCAATCCTTCTGTTAGGTAGTGCCTGTATCCTACCAAAAACCTCACCAAAATTGATCCTGACTGCTCGTTTTGTGATAGAAACTCTGGGGACTGTCTGAACCCTGCATGAGAAGCTCTTTCAGGCTGCAGAGGCATGACTCAGGCAAGGTGACAATATCAAAACTCTGGGACTTAGGAGCCTAAATCTCTTCTCCCGAATGCTAAAGATGCTTTAGAAAAAAAACCCCAAAACCTTTCTCCCACGTTGCTTGTTCACACCTGAAAACTCTCCCCAGTGTCCAGAGAAGCTGCCTACACCATGCAGACCCAGTTCTGTCTCCAGATCTTTCTTTCCCACCACACCAACTCTTCTCTGCAATTCCTGGCTGAACTTCAGGAACATCCAAATGCCTCCAGAGCTACTGATTTATTTGTGAAGTTTCTGGAAGTGGGGAACCTAAATAAAGGTCTCACAGCTGCAAGGTAAATGGGGTTAGTGTCCTCAGCAGGCAAGCAAAACATGGGAAAGTCTAAAGGAAGGAAGGAATGCACATGCCTCTTGGGATAGGATGATGTGCTGGGAGACAAGACAGAACGTGCATGGGCTGTGTGCTTTGGGGGCTTTTCTTTGGCTTTACCCACTGCTCACAAGTGACTGAGAGGCTGGAGGTGTGTACTGGTTGTGAGGTAGAAGGAAGGGCAAGGTGAGATGGATTCCTTACTCCAGGAAGCTGGTGATGTAATCCCTGCTGCACGTGGACCATACAAACGGGTTGGTCTTCATGGTGATGTGAGCAGCCATGAGCTTGGCCGTTTCTTGCCCACGGGAGCCACAGCTGTTGCCGACTCCATCATGATTCATGCCAAACCTAGAAAGCATCACCAAGGCAATAGAGAGATGATCAGCTGCTGCATTTTTGACACATCTGGATCATCCACAGGAAGGATTTTTCAGCTCCTGTTGGCAGGAACAAACCAACAGGGGCCCTTCCCTGAGACGGCCACTCTGCAGGCACAGTACTCACGTGTGGCCAATCTCGTGGGCAATGGTGAAGGCTGTGGCCAGGCCAATGTCCTCATTGATGCTGCAGCTTCGTTCTCGTTCGCACATCCCGCCGACAGGGGCCAGGCCTAGGGAAGCCAAACAGAGCTGTCACATAGCGTCAGCCCAAAGCATCTGCAGGGGCCATAGGTGGTATGTGGGGACTAACCGATGTGTTTCACACTCACTAACACTGAGCACAGCCTGCTGTCACTAACAAGTTTCTTCCCACTGGTTACACTACTGGGCTTTGGGATGGACCCATGGCTCTTATGGGCTGTGGGTACATGGTCACTCAGCACTGTCAACTAAATTAACAATGACAGGCTTGGAAATGGTAAGAATGGGTCAAAATCCTCTGAATTTCACATCCAAACCCCAGACTATGTGCAGAAGGGGAGCAAGTCCTTGTCACAACACCGGCACTGCTGGTGGGGGAACCTGGGATCAGCTGCACCAGCACCTGGGCATTCAAACCTGGCCAGGGCAGCCTGGACAACTGAGTAAGCCAGGATCTAACCTGTCCATCCGCACTTGGTTCTGGCTGACACCCACCATGATCAGGAATCCAGCCTGGCTCCATTTGGAGGGCTGGATCATGCAGAAATCCCCCTGAATCGTGGCAGCAGATTCCCCCAACCCTCTGCCCATACACTGTCCTATCACCACAGGCTGTGCCCGCTGCACTGGGCCAGGGGAGGAACAGTCTCTATTAAAGGAATGAATTGAGCCATCATGGCACCTCCGGCCTCAATTTCCCTCCCAGGCACCTCATCTGCAGTCGCATCAGGTCAGAGATCCACCAACTTTTCCTTTTTAACTGTGGTGATTCAGAGCAGTAATCCCTCCCTGACTGCTTAGTCTAGACCAGGGCACGACAAATTAGGAGCTACAGCCAGAGAGAACTGCAGGGTCTGTCTACGTCTAGCAGTTTAAATAAAGAACTCCCTTTATAGTCATCACAAAAAAGTCTTATTTCTCTCTGCTAAGCCAGGAATACTCCACTAGGCTATGGACCAGCCCTAGATGCGAGTGGTTCTTAATCATCAGGCTGGACCTGACCCAGGGATATAACAGAGAAGCGTTCCAGAACCCATCTGTCCTCCGGGTTGCTGCTTTTAGTGTTTACAGAAGTAAGGAGGCAACACAGTCAAGCAGGATGGAAACCACTGGCCTGTTCCTGGCTCCACAGCCGGTGCTCGCAGTAGCGTTGGGCAAGCGCTTCCCCTCAGCCTGATCACTAGGAAAGGGGGATGGCACAGCCCACCCTTGCCACGCTCCGAAGATGCGTGTGCTAGTGAGAAGTGCTGCTGAAGGGGCAGCAAAATCCTACCTACCCAGGGTGCCGCATGGTTTATTCTTGTAGATGCAAATGTCGTATCTGCAAAGAAAAGAAGGCAGCATTAAGAACACTTACAATGTCAGTGGCTACAAAATAGTGCATCTCCATTTTACTGATGTGTTCACATTCAAAACACTTCAAAACAGCCCACGGCTCATGCAACACTTCTGGAATGGAAAGTACCGACTGTAACAGGTAAGATGCCTCTGATCTGTATTGTACAACACTTACTTTCCCCAGGCTGAGACTCACTGTGGATTTTTAATGACAGCTTCTGTCCCTTAACTATGGGGCAGTGCTGAGTGGGGTCAGAGGTTTGGTTTTGATGAAATGTGGTAAATCAGCAGGGACAATGCTATTCCAACCTTGAAGCTCTTTGGGTTTGGATGGGTGGTCCAGCTCTGCTCACTAGCACTCAGTGCACTCCCAGGAGCTGGCCACTTCTCTCCTGGGAGGCACCAGGTTCAGGGATCTGCCCCAGCAGCACAGGGTGAAAGAGGACAGGGCCAGCCTCCTGTCTGTAAACTCAGGTCCCTTGCAGGAAATCATATCAATCAAATATGTAATTCTGCAAATTTTTTTGAAAAATAAGGAAAACATTTCAGTTTGAAAACATGTTCCATTTCAAAACCCACTGTGGTTTCATTAAAATGCTAAAGTGATTTTTTTTTTTTTCAGTTTAGTTCTTTACTGAGAATTTTCCAAACAAATTCAATATGGGTTGATTCAAGATGACTCTTCCCTATGTTCCTGGCCTCGACTTCCAGCCATTGCATCAAGGAATCAACTGTTTGCACATCGTTAGCCATGTACAAGGAAAAGCTAAACGAGGACAGCAAAGTAAAATCTCCTCCAAATTGAAATGCAGCACCCTTGCAATGGAACATAGTAGCAGCTCCAAAAGAGACCAGTTTAGGCCAGAGAGTGAATATTATCATTTAATTGCAGGGCCCTCCCCTCCCTCTCTCTGTTCAAATACCTTCTCCAGAAGGTGAGACTCCACCGACATTTGGGTCTTTGTAAAACCTGGGCTGAAAGGAGCAAGGCTAACACTGAAATCCGCGTAGGGTGGGCAGGTGGGAGGACCAGCAGCAACTGGGCTGGGACACCCCAGAGCTGGGTTGGGGTGTTGCTCCTTAGCCCTGAGGTGCATTTCAACCTGAGTGTGAGCTGGGCTCGGAGCACTGAGCATGCTGACCACGGTGCAGGTTTGGGGGACACCAACATGGCGAGCAGGACCATCTGACCCTGGCAGCCCCATGGGGATGAGAGTGGGGAGGAAGCAAGCTGAGAGCACACGATGGGTTAAGCATAACGTGTTCCTGGTGATGGCTCCTGTCCCTTTGGCCCCTGGCGCTCTCTGGAAGTGTCCAAACCTCTCACCCCCACCACAAAACCAAGCGAGTGAAAAACATTTGTTGCTTTGTTTTGAGTGAATACCATTAAAGCCTTCGGAGGCTCTGGTTTGACACATCCCTGCAAGAGAAAAAAGCCCACAGCTCAGCAAGATGTTATCGGGAGACAGGGAATTTATTAGAGACGGGGCCGGATGCACTGGTGCTGTCCAAGCCTGGCGCGGCCGGCCCGGCAAGTCGCTTCGGGTTAGCTCAAACATCTGGTGGGAGGCTGAAGAACTCGGATCTGGCGTTTCCTTCCCTCCTCCAGGTGTGGTGGGAGGGATGGAAAAGCAGACGCCGCAGCCCCGGCAGGGTGAAAAGCTGGGGCTGAGGGGCCGTTCTCTCACTCTTCCCCTGGTGCCTTTGGTTTCTCCCCAGGCTGCTGTCCCTCTGCCCAAGCAGGGTTTATGTGGGCACTGGAGAGCCAGTGTCCCAGGAGCAGCCAGCAGCACTGCTGAGAGCTGCCTCTCAGCATCCTTCATCCCTTCCATCTTTCTAGCTCTCCCTTCAGCATCCTTTGTCCTCCCAGCCACCCCTCTGTCCCTTCCACTGTCCCTGTTGTCCTCTCTGCATCTTCTTTCCTTCTGACCATCCGTCTGCCCTTCCAACTGTCCCTCCTGTACCCTCTGCTGCTCCAGGCTCAAGCACCCATCTATTCTGACGGGGGTTATTTGTCCTGCATGTGAAGGTTCAGACCCCTTCACCCAGCTATGCAGGTCTAATTCAGCATCCACATTAAGCTTCTGACCTAGACCGTTGTTACAGGAGCGCAGAGACACAGGCAGGGCAGGACTGCTCTTGTCCTAAGGGAGTTGGGATGAAGTCACTACTTCAAGGGTGTCCATCAGCTACCAAGGAGAGAGTTCAGCCCTACATGTAGGCACCTAAAATGAGGTGACACAAATCCTATACTGGCTGGAGGCACTCTGTCACTCTCATGATGCTCACGTCCCACTCATATCCTCTTCCCCATCTTTCACAGCAGGGGCAGATGGGGGTCTCCATTTCAGTAGGATGCCCGATGTTCCACGACTCCGGGGTGGGTTCCCACACAGGCCCAACACTGCTGTACACACTACGCCATTGACTTTTGGTGCACAAATACCCGTGGCTGCAAATTAAGCTCCTGGAGAGCACAACAAAGACTGAGGGAAGACAAGGGAGGATGATAACTATCTCAACTGCAATAATCTGCATCGCTGCAAGGGAACCGGCAAGTGGCCAGCATGAGGGACAGCCGCTGCCAGGCGGCTTGTTGGGGGGGAGCACATGGGAAGGAAGCCCTGGATGAACCACTTGGACAGAGATAGAGGACAACTGCACAGAGGACACTCCCAATGAAGACAGTGCTGCCAGGGCTGGGCTCAGCCTTACCTGGTGATCAGCACTGCAGTGTCGTGGTTGGCTATGCCATTCTCGGGGATAGCATTCCCATTGCCATTCCTGTTCACAATGGATTTCTGCCACTTGCAGAAGCTGTCCAGGGATTTCCCGGCGTGGTGGTTAATCTCCAGTGTGGGCTGGAATGGAAGTAATATGACAGTGTGTTCCCAGGAAAGCTCTGATATGAAGGCACTACCTATTCCTATGGCAGCAGAGCACTGACTCCAGTCCAGATGCCCCCACCTTTTCATGGAGGCCATGGGAAAGGAAGACTTTAGGAGGACTAAAGCTACTTAAACTTCCCTAAAGCCACCTTACCACAGAAACAGTCCTCAGAGCCCCAGAGGTCTCCTCAACCCATAGCCTGAACCCAGTCCCCAGCTGCCACTGAGAGGATGTGGTACACGAAGCAGACTGCACTGGGGGGACCTCTCGGGGGTGACATCCAAGGGGAACACACAGACCCACAAAGGAAGCACAAACACAGGACAGAAGCGGCTCAGCAAAGCCCACCTTACCTGATCCTCGGTGAGGAGGATCAGCCGGGTCACCAGGATATTGACAATATTGCCCAGACTCGAGTCCTGGAAAAGTTTGGCAACCTGACCTCCAAGAAACAAGAAAAGACGAGTCTTAAAAATGAGCTCACTGGCTGGGTGACAGTGCAATCGGCGGGTGAGCTGGCATGTGCTGGGCACCTGGCGGAGGGAGACAGGGCTGCTTCGTCAGCATGGGCTGCAGGGTCTGAACACCATTTTTTTAGAAAGCAGAAATGTGTATGGGACTCCACATTACCACTTGGATTGCAGAGCCTCCTAAACCATGTTCAGACCTCAGTGCCTCCTTCTGGGGAGATTCAAGCTGTGAAGCTGACATCCCACAGCACCTGGTCCTTGCCTGGAGCTCAGGTGGGGAAGCCCACAGTCCTGGCATTACGCAGCCACGAGGACGAAGCTTTGCTGACTGCCCATCAGCAGGGGATGACACAGCATCTCTCAGAAATCTGCCACCACATGATGGGTATTTTAGAGCAGATGAAACAGTTAGAAACAGTATTGTTTTAAAATCTGGCATCTGCTTTAGAAATGCAAACAGAGTAAGCCATGAAAAGAGATCCTGCAGAGGACAGGACAAAGAACCATCACAGAGGGGCTTTCAGCGGTTTGATGGATAACTTCCAAGCCTATCTCACCTCACAGGAGGATTCAGCATGGCCAATTCAGGCTGTTAATGCATCTAGCCTGGTATCCTGCCGCCAGCAATGACCCAAATCTGATGCTGCAGAGGAAGCTCCTCTGCAGTAACCCAGAGACACAGGCAGCATGGTATGGAAGAACGAGGGTATTTCTCCCTACCTCTCATGCTGATCAGCCCCCAGGCGTGAGAGCTCACTGTCCTTATGCTTTCCCATGTGTTTCTCAGCTTGGCTGGCCCTATTTGCAATGCTAATTTGAGATGAGAGATGCTGTTCAAAGAAAGGGCTTTGTTCTCCCAGTCCAGATCTGGCCTGTAGCATGGTCAGACAGGCCAGAGTTTACCTCTCCTACAGTGCCTCCCCTATACAACAGAGAGTCCCTGCAGGCTCCAGAGTATCACTGCTTATGAGCAGCAGCAGCATGTCAGGATTTTTGACCCAAACATCTTGCTCTGGGGATGGGGAGAAGCCACTGCCATCCTGGAACAGATCTGATTTCCCCACTGCGTTCCCATCCCTCTTGTCTTCTTGCAGGAAAAGCACATGGCACCCTCTGCCAAACCCAGACATTCGGGGTGACAAACAGGATTTATTCCTGCTTGCTCTCTGCTGCTGGGTGTGTGAGCCCCTGGGGTCCCCCAAGGTTCATGATGTGGTTATAACACTTACAATATTCATGATGGCCAGGATGTACTGCTCTATGTCCCGCCGCCCGTGGTACCCCACCATCATTTTGTCAGCTACCACCAGGGTCTCCACGTAGCGCTCTGTGCTGACGGATCTCTTCAGGGGCAGCTGGCCTCGCTGGCTGTGGTTGCCCGACGGCTTCAGAGGGGAAGGCTTCAGTGTCCGCAGCCACCAGTGTCTCCCTTTCCAGGGCTTCTCATCTGAGGAGGGAAAGAGATTTTTCTGTTGTCCTCCAGCAGCAATTCAGCAGCACACAGAGGTGAGGGGTGCACAGTATGAGCTTGGTTTCAGGGAAGGAAAGGCTATTGCGAGGCTCTTTATGCACCTCGTGCAGACCCAGCAAATGTCCCCACTGCCATCGGCTGGATCTGCTGAGCTCTTCCTACTGCAGCTCAGGGCTGGCTCTGTGCTCCTGTCGGCCCCGCTGGCATCCTGCCTGCCCTCCTGCCCAGTTGCTGCCCAGTTCCTGCCCACAGAGATGTGCACCCGTCCTGCTGCGTCAGCCCCACACAACACTTCACTGCCTCCATACTGCAAGGCCCTGCCCTTGCCTCTGTCACAGGGAAGAGCGGTGTGGATTTAGAAACTACACAGACATAATCTGAAAATAAAGCCATTGCAGATCATTTCCTCTTTCCTTTTCCTGCCAGGACCTGAATTTAGGACTTGGCTTTTCCTCCACAGAAATGGCTGCAGCCTCCAAAGCAGCAGCAGGTTTGTAGGACTTTGCTCCAGGCTTCAAGTGCTACTGACCTGACCCTAGAGATGTCCCCAGCAGGGCCACCAGCTCCAAACCCACAGTGTGGAGACCACCACAGGGCAGGAGAGCTGACTGGGAGATTACAACCACTCTCCTGCCCTGTCAAGAGAACCGGCTGAATCCCCATCCTCTGCTCTGATGCTGGATCATCAAACATCCAGCAAGACTGCAAAGATGGGCAGATCACAGGCAGCCCCACAGCCTACCAGCTCTGGCCCCTCTGGCTGATCGGAGGGAGCTCATGGGAGTGCTCGGGACCCAGCTGTGCTGGGCGGGTTGGGACAGGTCCAGCCTGCAGGGCAAGGGGACGGGGTGGCTTTGCCGGGGCCAGTTGCGCTGTGGTTGTTCTGAAATGTATTTGGCCTGTGGCTCCCACTGCATGGTCTTTGCTTTCCAAGAAGCAATTAGGAACTGGCTAACTTTTGTCTGGAAGCTGGGGAATGTGGCAAAAAGTCAGCAGAAGGGGAGTCTGCTGGCGCTTCGTCCAACATGACTTTGGGAGCTGGGACGGAAGGAGCCAGGCCATAGAAGCACAGGTTGACTTGAGAGATGCTGGCAGGTCTGGGGACACTCGGAGCCTGCTCAGAGCAGGCTGGCAGTGCCCCAGTGTCTCCAGAGGTTCCACTCCTTCCCAGCAGCGACTCCTCATCTGGTCAAGCGTCACCACTGGGGCACTGGATGAACATCCTGAAGTGACACACAAACCTGCCAGGAGCAACTGGGAACAGCTCTGCTTCTGCTTCTACAAACCCTAATCCATAAAATGCGAGCTGGCCCCTCTGCAGGCATGGCATCTCCTCTCATCCTTATGGAGCCAGGGGAAGCCTCTGTAAACTGACGGAGCAGCATTCTGTGTACATGCAACATTTTGGGTAGATGGAGAAACTTTGCATATTCACAAGGGACAGGGATTTCAGCCAGGCTCTGGGACGCAGACTGACTGCTAGCAAGAATGAGTAGGGCACAGGCACGTGGGGAGAGGCCAGTGCAGACCTGTGTGAATCCTTTAGGAGGTCAAGGCTTGTAAGCATAGAAATGGGGTAGATGTGCAATTGTCACCCTCTGTAAACATCTCCCAGAGCCCACTGTGACTAACCAGATCCCACATCCCACCCTACAAGGCATCTTTCCACCTGGTCTCTAACAGCAGCATATATATCTCCATGTGGACACAATCTTCAGTGACTAAAACCCAAAGACAAGTCTCTGCTGAGCATGCATAAGCTACGATTTCTCAATACCTTGTAAATTGGCCAAATCTGGGAGGATTTTTCTTAAGAACAATAAGACACAGCTTTTTCTTTTCTATTCCGTGCTCTATTTCCAAATTTAAAACCCTTGCTGCAAAGAAGAGAGTACAAGAACTTTCCAAAGACCAAGCCACCAGAAATCCTTAACGTGGGTAAAAGTAAATACAGCAAACTTTCTTGAATGCAGGAGATAAATTTGGTTCTTTGCCATATAGAGCAGTGTGGACCTTCAAAGCCTGGTCTACTGGGACTTTACCAGCCTGCCCTGGGATGGATTGAGGATGTGTTGGTGGGTACAGATACCTAGCACACCACAGGCTGCATCCATGTGTGGGTACTGGAGAGACGATCGCTTGTACACGACGTGGGGGCTGCCCTTGCCCTCGCTGCCTGTGCTGACATTGGCTCCCGGGCTCAGTGGTTCAATGAAATATTCCTCCTCATCTGCGACGATCACCCCATGCTGCAGAAGGAAAGAGACAGAAGGCAATAAAAGAGGTGGAGAGAGAACTGGGTGACATACTGGTGGCTTCTCATAATGAGCTTTTTGATGATTAACCACTGGATTTCTGGGGACTGACAAATACTTTTGAGAATGTGAAAGAATCCTTCACTTACACACAAACACTGAACTATATGAACCTACAGACCAGAGAAAACTGAGACAGATGGTGGTGGATGCCTTCAGACATCTGTGTTCACCAAAGTCCTCTGGAAATCACAGTCTTTCCTTGCAAAATTATGAATGAGTTATTTCCTATTCCACCCACTCAGTCTAATTGAGAGCTGTCTGTGGGATCTTAAATACCATACCTTCAAATAGCAGCACAACTCAGCAGTGAGATCTACCTCGTATACTTTTCGACCTCACCAAAGAACCTTTGAAAGCAGCTCAGGACCATTATCATCAGCTGGGAAACTCAGGTACAGAGCTGCAGGGAAGTGTAGATGCTCAGAGGCTTTTGAGAAACACACTGAATCTTTAAAATCTGAAGTCTGATTAGCAGTGAGGTAACCAGCAGGAGCCACAACCTTTCTCTGCAGCCTGAAACCTGGGTTATGCCCCGCAGGCATCACTCCCCCTTTTACACCTCTGACTGGCCACCTCAGTCAGGTGATCTTGTTTCTGCTCCCTTATTTGTTTTTTGTTGTTCTCCCTCATTTTATTCTTTGAATGAATCTCAGCTGTGAGCCCAGACTTTGCTCTGTGAGTGGACCCACTCGCGAGACAGTGACGCCTGGGCAGGAGCAGAACCCAGCAGGATGAGCAGCCAAACCCACCAGGTGCTTGCAAGATCTCTCCGCTGCAGCTGATCTTATCCTCACGGCAAGGATACCTTCTACCTAAAAGACCTGAGCAACCTAAAAAGTTTCTTGCAGCCCAACATGATTCAAGTAGAAACTCCATTGCTGTAACAATTCCTGGCACTGAATCTCACCTAACTCCAAGAAACGTGGGCGTGCTATCAGCTGAACGTTACCAGCAAGCAACCAAGGCACAGAAACATTTCTGGCATTGCTCAAGCAGGACAAGAAGTATCCCAAAAGTCTAAAACCCATGTTACCTGGCTGTCCTCCCACTCCCTGCGTGCAAGCATAGTTCTGGGTGCAGTGGCACCCCCCGTCCTGCCACCAGCTCTGCACCGGTGTTGTCTTTTGGATGTCACAGCACTTTACCAGCTCCCCTCTATGCAAGAAGGATGGAAGCCCTGATCTGCCAGGACAAGGAGTGGGAAAGCAGGTCTCTGTAAAACATCTTGAGGTCCTTGCACGGAAGGCACCACCTGCATAACTGCATTATTGCTGGGCTTTCGTGGAGGAGAGCCTCTCTGGGGTGAACGCTGCCTCCGTAATAGGTCTCTCCTCCTCTCCCTCCCTGCCATGAAAGCTGAATCGGGGCAGTGTGTGCACAGTGAAGTCCCCATCTCCAGAGTGCCGGGGGATTTCCTCCTGCACCAGGCTCTGTTGCTCTTGGCTCAGCTCCACCTTTTCAAACACAAGCGAGGTACTGTGAGGTTAGCCTGGCGAAGGCTCCGGCGGAAAGCCGAGTGTCGGCCTGCGAAGCCAGCTGGCTGCCGGCTTTGTGGGATGGGGAGAAGGAGGTCACCACCGGCTTGGGGCAGAGCAGCAGGAGGGGAAAGCACGTCCTGCCTGAAAACCATGTACCACTAGAAAAGGGCCGTTCTTACTTAAACCTGGAGCCTCTGCAGAGCATGAGAGGCAGGAGGCTCCACCGCCGGCCTGGCATCCTTCGGCAATGAAGCTCGACCATCACAGGAGTCTGAAAACTGCCCCATTGCTGACCCCAAAGACTGAGCTCTGAGGTCCGGGTGCTGGACGTGACACAAGCCTGTTGAAAGGGGGCGGCGAGAAGCCCTTAGAGAGATCCCTGTGGTTTGTGGGGGAGCTAAACTGGATATCCTGTCTATGATTCACCCAGGTCATCTGCAGAGCAGGGATGGTTTATGCTATTAGCTTATAACCACACTTAAGAAAAGCACAGCCACATACTGCAATTCAGCAATTCCACCTCCTCGCACATACACATGAGCAGCTCAATGTTAGCCTCAGCAGCGGGGCCATCTGCCTTGCTCCAAGCATTCAATGTTCATGCTGACTTCAGGAGGGCTTTTCAGGTGAAAGCACAATTTCAGCACAGACACACAGAGTTGAAAACCTGGCCTTTAAACTGTCCTTTGATGATCTCTGACACAGGAGGTGTGGCATTTCTCTCCTAAAGTTGCTTCCTCCTCGCTGTGATTTTTTTGATGGCAGGACAAGGGTCCTTGGGATCTCATGCAGCCATTGGGATGAAACATGGCTTTGCTTAAGACAGGGATTTCAGCTCCTGGCCAGGCTGAGGCAAAGCTGCCCGGGCTGCTCCCTGCAGGCTCCAGCTGCTTTGTGCTTGGCCCTGCTGGTGGCTCACGGCTCTGCGTGTTTTGGAAAATGGACCATTTTGCCCTTTGATCCAACAACTTAAGCCTGGGTGACTTTCCCCCCAACTCAGCCTGAAGCTCAGCGGCGTGCCCTCCATGGGACATGCGTGAGGTGAGCCATGCTGCCTGCCTGCCCTCAGGCTGGGGTGATGGTGCGTGTGGCCGGTAAGACGAGTCAATGGGAGCATGCCCAGATATTGGCAATTCAAAGCTGGGGTGCTGTAAGGTGTGAGTTACATCTCAGGCATTTGAAAACAAAGCAGTTTTACAGCGGTACACCTTCCAGACACAGAAATTGCTTAGGGATGTCAGCGTTTGAGGACAGGAGGATGGCTTGGGGCGTGTTACCCGTTTTCACAGCTTTGTGTTGGACACCTCTGTGGATGCACTCCTCCCTTTCCCTCCTCCTCATGCACAGCTCACCCCGTAATCAGCACCTGGTCCTTGCTTGTGCCCATTCAAGAACGCAACACACAACTGCCTTTGCATCATCAGTGAGTCAGGTCTGCACAAACATGGGTCACAGTGTGCAGTCCCCCCTCTGCACGTGTCAGCATGAACCTGAACCTTGAGACCTCAGCAACTGGAGACCCTCTTCTGTCCCTATCTGTCCCCTCCAAAGTAGACTGATGCCTGCCTGGAAGGGAGCATGCTGTGGCTGAGGGATGGCATGAGCGGATCAGCTGTTACTGATCAACCAGAGCTCTGCAACAGGTCTTCTCTATTGGTAAATACAGCCCCCACTCTGCCAGCTAAAAAGATGACAGACTCCTCTTGTCCAAATTCGTGACCCTATCGTCCTCACTAACCCAGAAGACCTCCTCCTCTCTCCTTGCTGATGTCCATAGCTCTCAAGGGCAGAAGGACAGAGTTCAGGAAAAGGAGAGGTTGTTGGATGACCCTCCGTCCCTCTTTGTGCCTGGCTGCATTTTCCTCCAGACAGCCCCTGGTATCTCTCCAGAGCTAAACACAGCCTGTGGACTAAATTATCCCAGTACAAGTGCTGCTGGGCCACTGCTTGCCCTGGACTTGCTGCTCTCTGAAGTGGGAAGGTGCCAGTTCCTTTCTGAGCCAGCAGCATCCAGCTTACCCTTCAGTGCTTTTGTGAACACCAGTAAATTGTCTAGGACTTCAGCAGAATTCCCATATCTAAACAAAGGGCTAACTAGAGAACCAAGAGTTTATGCAGCTCTAATTTTTGGCTGTGATATAGAAACATTAGACTCTATGATATAATGAGTCAGATTCTCATTTCTGTTAATAACCCACAGCACTGTTCTGGCAGTGTAATTTAGCAATAAATCAAATATGAATTCATTCCCGTTTGGAAGCTCTTCCACCCTGCCAGAATACTGCTAAGAGGTGGGGCCGTAGCATAAATATGAAGCTGGCCTACAGAGTCTTTTTCTACATGTTACCCCTCCAAGGGAGCCATCATCCTTGGGATTCGCTAACAGGGTATGTTTGCTCCATCCCTCCATCTGGCAGGTCATGAAATGTGCTTTGTGAGCCAGAAATATCAGAAAATCACAGAAAAATAAGGATGGAAGCCCTTAGTCTATTCCCAGTGCTGGAAGAGCTAATGAATCATACCTGGAGTATTTCTGAGAGGCATCTGTCTGGCCTATTCTTAAAGATCTCCAGTGACGTAGGGGCCACGTACTCTCCAAGCAATCTACAGTGCAGAGCTCAGCTATCCTTACCACTAATGTCTACCGTTAAGCTTTCTTGCTGATATTTAGGACATGATGTCTAGTCCTAGCTGTTAGGACATGCAAAGTCAATTATTCCCACCCTCTTTGCAGTAGCCTTGCTGGTTTTGAGGAATGCCATCTTGCCCCTCTTGATGTTCTCTTTTTCATATTGAAAAACTGATTATTTCAGGTTTTCCCCCAGAAGTCACATTTTTAGCTCCTGAAATCTGGACAGAAGTGACTGGGAACCCCAAGAATGTATCTGCAGTTGTAAGGATCTGAATGCATTTTTGACATTCCCAGTTGTGCTGTGAAATTCCTGCCCTCCTGCACTTCTTCCTCACTAGCACGTGAAACATACCTTTTTCTGTTGCTGTTGGAAGTGGAGGGGAGAGTTCTGTGAGAGCCAGAATAATGGTCTAGAGTCTGGATTATCCCATTCCAATTAAAATCAATGGAAAAATGCCCACTGACTTTGGCAGAAACTAGACTACAAGCGAAACATGGATCAGGAACCCCTACTGATGTAATGAAGGGATGTGGCTTTCTTCACCCTCAGCTGATGCCAGTGTGCAATATTCTAGCTTGACACCAACCCCATGCCTTTCCCACCACCACGTGCTGGAGCCAGGTGCTGGGACCCAAACTGGGTTGCACTTCTACAGCAAAAATCAAAGAGGCTGCAATCAGCTCTGCTTTATGGGCAGCTCTAGTTGTTAGTATTGCCCTTGGCTGGGCAAAATACAGAGACTCACCAGTCCATTGCAGTTGCTGATGGCGACCTTTGAGTTCAGGTACTGATCCTGCAAGTGGCCTGCATAGTGGCAGTCTTCGTGGAAATCGTGTTGCCAGTCCACGCCATCTCGCTTCCAGTATTCGACAGTGAAGTGCTCAGCCAGGAGGTTGGAGTGCAGTGTCAGGTTGAGGAGGAACTGGGTTCGGTGGGCAGAGACTTTGTAGAAAACCTGTTGCTCAGATGGCTCATAGGGCAAGGAGCCCAGACTGCGCCGAGGACGTTGCTTCAGCTGGCTTCTCACGTCAAAGGTGAGGAAATCCCCGTTTTGGTCCACTTGGATGGGGAACGCAATTTCATAGTGATCGAGACTGGAGAGGAACTCCTCTGGGGAGGGAAAGCAAACATAGGAGGAATGACATTCTGCAAAGAGAGTCAGAGTAAAACACCCAGCGACTTCAGCACGGAGCCAGCTGCGCCTGAGCATAACTGAGCCGCAGCCAGCACAAGGTGGAGGGACAGGGTCCTGACACAGAGGGTCTGCTCTGTCCAGGCTGCAGGACCCTTGAGGTATTCCAAATAGCCTTCAGCATACACAGCCTTGGGGTATCAATAGGCCTTGAGCCTATGGAGCATAATCTTCTTCCTCTGCAGGTGATGGGAGAGAAACACACTGGTCCAAGAGGCCATTCAGGCAGGACACCCAAATTCTGGCTCTGGACCTGGACTATCCCCCATCTCTCCATCTCCACTGGGCAGAGGGACTCAAGGTCATGCAGAGTCACACTCTGTGGTTTGGAGGGTTATTTTAACCTGGACCCTTTCAGTAACAAAGCTAGCAATAAGTTCTCTTCAAAATGAGCCAGAACAAGCCTTGGGGTGACAACATCTCAGGAGAAGACAGTCTTGCTAAGGAACTGTGGGGTTCTTCAGAACATCTACAGCTGCCACGTGGACCTGCTAACTCTGCTTTGATAACTTGCATAATAACAGCACCATACCAGCCTCCCTGATCACAGCAGCATTAGTGCCTTAGGTACTGGGTATCCTCCTAAGAGTCACAAAGACAATGTCCTTGCAATACCCACCTTGCAATCAAAATAAAAAAGAGGGTAATGAGAATTGCCCAGCTGTGCTGAAAAGGCAGCAATAAAAGAAGTCAGACATCCCGATTCCCCAGCCAGGTCTCTATCTTTGACACCATCCTGCCTTCCCAGCTCACCAGCTTGGTGCTCTTTATCATATCAGCCTGGCTTAGCACCTTCTCTTGGGGCACTTGAGTCTTTGAGCCTGTCTCGTACCACTTAGGAAATGTGCTCTGACAAGGTCACTGTCCAAAACGTCTGCCTGCACTCACACGGTAACGCAACACTTTTGGCTGTCAAAGAAATTGGCACTCTGCAACCTCAACAGAAATTTCTCATTTTCCAAGCAAAATGTCACAGGGACTGCCAGATTGGATCTGACTGGAGGTCTAGCTGTCTCTTACAGCCCTCAGTACCAGAGGCTTCAGCAGAGGATGTAAAAAATCATGCACTGGACAGGATAGCTCCCCCCATCACAGGGTGTTCTTCTGAACCCCTCATGGCTGGAGGTTCATGGAGTGGGAGAGGATTTGCCCTCTTTTCACTCTGGAAGATTCTTATTGTGCTTTCTGCATCCTATTTGTAGTTGTTTCCTAAGCAAACAGGAGGGGCCAGGCTGCTCCAGGGTGGCTGCATTTTGCCTGGCTCCACAGCACCCATCTTCAAAGCCTTCTCAGCCATCATAAATTTGGACTCCAAATTACACTTTTACCACATGGCAGCACCGGAAAGTTTCCTTTTCCTCTAGTGTGTTTTCCAGTGTGGGAGCCTGACAGAGTGGTTTCCTTGGCCACCGGTAATGGGGCAGTCCTTCCCACCAGCTGGGTTTAGGGGTTAGCTCCCATCCTTCCAAACCATAAGCACTTCTGGCACCTTTCCCTTGCCTCGACAAGCCAGAAGTAATTATTAGTTTTTTAACTTCCTGTGCTCCAGCTTCTCCTGCATCACACCGCCTCACGTGTGATGCAGCCGGGCAAACAAGAGTGACTATTTGCACTTAAGCAATGACCTCAGGCTTGGAAAAATTTGCTATCGGAAGTGTCTTGTTTTTCTTTTTCCCTCTCTGCAGTCCACGTGGGCTTGCAAAATAGTGAACTGGAAGGAGGTTTGTGCACACAGTGGCTAGAAAGGGCCTGGGACCCTGGGCTGCAGTCTCTGATCCTGACCTGCAAGGTATGTCCAGGAGGAAAAAATAAGTGTTCAGAGTCTGGGGGTGAGGCTGTGTGTGAGAACCTACTTTTGCTGTAGTGCTGGTCATAGTGCATCCTCTCAGGGATGGCACCCTGGAAACTGAGGCACAGGAAGAAAGATCTAAGAGCAGTCCCCTGCATCACATGAGTGTTTTAGGAAGTGATGCTTTAGAGTGGGGATGCCACAAATGGAAAAAATAATGAAGAGAGACTTTCAACACAAGGAAGAAGCCAGTGTCCTCATCCAGTATTACAGGTGGCTCCTTCCTCTCCTCTAAAAATGTAAAATATTAGATTAGGCTCTAAGAGATCAGGATCTCTTTTACTCCTTAACCCTGTATACTCTACCCAACATCACGGATGTTCCCTAATTCCTCATGTGCTCATCCCCATCCCTGCCTTGGTCATGCTCCCCATATTACAGACCATACTAGGAGCTCCCAAAAGCAAAAGCAGCACTGTTTGGCCCTTCCTTTCAGAAAAGCCATCATGTACCCTCTGACCTCTCAGCCACTTCACACTGTATTAATAGATCTTGGCCCAAAACGTGCAGTACTGCATCCACTGTATCACAAGGGTTTGCAATGGTGATAAGCAGCCTGGTGTTTCCAGAGAGCTGTCAAACTGCTTTGGAAGAGATGCTATAAAAAGCCTTTCTCCAGGAAAACCTGCCCATGGCTCTGTGGGACTCTGGGCACCCCTGAAGGACTACAAACCTCCTAGGAGAGGGTATGGGAGAAAGCCGGGAAGCAGGAGGGATGGGGTGTGGGGAGAGGTACCTCATTACCCCATTTTTGGTGGAAAGGGAGCACACATCTACAGGGACAGGGATGGCAGAGGAAGGGAAAGGGCACAGGGGAGGCAGAGGGGTAAGCCGAACAAAAAGAAGAAGAGAGGGAAGGTGAAAATGGAGGAGGGAGGATTTTGTTCCCTCCTTGTATGTTCACCATTGCCTCTCTCCTTACAGAGCTGCTTAAAGGATGAAAAGGAAGCAGATGTTTGCTTGGTCTTGTCACCAGAGCAAAGAGGAGCCCTGGCTGCAGCCCAGACACGATTCCTAAGGGATGGCTGTGGAAAACGCTATGGGATCCCATGGCTTCAGGCTGCCCTGGCATTGTGACAGTCTCACTACATCCTCCAAGGGTCCAGTGGTTTACATGTGAGCTGGGAGCACTGAGATTAGCCTCACCTAACGTTCTATAAAACAGGGAATGTCTAATCTATCCCTACAGTTAAACTAAGGTACTAGCAGAAAATTTCCTTTTGATTAAAAACCATTGAGCAATGGTGAGCATGTGCTGAATTCTTGGTCAATTGTTTCAGCTGCTGTTCCCTGCACTGTTCAAAACTGCAGCCTGAGTGTACCCGTTACATCTGAATCTCGTTACATCTTTGCTGGCTTGAAGAAGCCTTCAATGCTAGGCTGCTATTTCCCACAAAGATAATTACAGCTTATGACTATGATAAGTTAATGGTTTTCCTGCATAAAACAAATACGCTGATCTGAGTCGTGCACACAGGGCATGTGAATCCTGCTCCGTAGCTAACTGGAGCAAGTCACTTGGTCAAAATCAGTGGGTTGTTGAAAACACTGGCCTTTATTCTCCATGCCTCCAACTGCTAAGAGGAGATAACAGCGTTTCACCCTCTTGAAAGGGTGTTGTGAGGATTATGTACTTACTATCTCAGTAGCGTGTTGAAGAGAAGTGTTGAGTAACCTCAGTAGCCTGACGCCAACTGTTCCGGATGCAGGGAGCCTAAAAAAGCGCTCTGACAGCAAGAGAGGCCCATGGGGCAGCCTGACCCTTGGGACTGGACAGGGACTGGGGAAGAGACAGGCTTCAGTCCCCAGCTTGGAGCTCCCTTGGCACCACACTCCCAGCAACATCACAGGCTGAGATTCATCCCCGAGACCTGGTTAGGGGAAGCCAGCATCTAGGAGAGCATAAATGCATTAACTGTAATTTCAGTGAGCCCTTGGGTTTAGATCAAGGTGTATCAGCAAACGGTGCGGGGACTCGTCAGCGAGGGAGGATTTGAGCTGCTGTGAGTCAGGATGGAGGCGATCTGGCAGCAAAGTCCCCATCAGAGCATCACTGCACTGTGAACGCGGTGCTGCAGATGGAGGGAGGTGTGAACTGACGGACGCGGGAGGCCCAGAACAGTCACCCCAGGCATTGCCAGAGACTTTGGCGAAAACGACCAGAAACTGTGTTTGTTTCAGATTCAAGAAAATCTGCCTGTGTAACCTTGCACGTTGCACAGCGCCTGCACAGCATGCAGCTCTGTTTCTGACTGCCTCTCGTTTCACCCAGCACAAGCTGCAGTATGGCAGTGCCCCATGTTTAGCAACGAGTCGGTGCTCAGACGCAGGATGGCATGTGGCTTTCAGTTGCCTTTCTTCCTCCTTCCAGTTCTGCTTCACGTGACAACCCACGGCCATCGTAACTACAGCCTGATGGCGTTGCAGTACTCAACAGCCCGGGTACATCGCCGACTTTGGTCCCGTTGCAATTAATCTGGGCACATGTGGTATTTCAGGATTATGGCTGCGTAAGTAACTGCCAAGGTTTTAACACCTTGCACAGATAAATGTCTAACTTCGGAGGTCTTTTTTTTTACCTCTGGTGCCTGATGGGATGTTCGTATTGCCTCTTAAAGTATGGTCACAGAAGCAAATTAGTATTAAGCAATTTAACTACCCTGTGTTACCTGCCCATGCTGTATTTGTACTCTAGGCTGGGTACAAGGCAGCCCACCTCACTTTCCAGTACCTTCACTCCTAACCTGGAATAAAATAACGTACAAAGGCACAAATCTATGTACAAGAGACCCACATTCTGCTTTCCTTGCAATCACTTGCACACGTGGCTCTGTATTTGAACAGAAGACCATTAGAAACACACAGACATAGAAGACAGGTACAAAGTGCTCATGCCTGAGCAGGTTTGAGCATTTACTAATGGTAGCACTTAGAGAAATGTGTGTGCAAACTAAAACTACTCCTCTAGCAGCACACGTCTGTCCAGATTCAGCTGTGTAGAGTATTTGTATGCTCCAGCAGAGACCTCCATCCCTGCACATGCAGAGGACTGCTTGCAAGCACACCGGCTGGCTGCACACACACAACCCTCCTCGTAACAAAGCCTCTATTCATCCGAGGATGCGCCGCTCCACCCGAGTGGAAGGGGAGCTTCCTCTATTGCTACCACATCTCCTTTGCTTTCTAAGCCTGTACGTGGCTCTCATCCTACACAGACCCTACTGCTCTGAATTCTGCAAAAAGTCAAGGAGCGTAACATCTGAGAGCAAAACACATCCTTCCCTTGGAGGTCAACAGAAAACACCTGCAAATTCAGCAGGAGAAGCTCTGCTGCAGTACAGCAAGCAGAGCAGAGTTCGAGGTGTCTCCACCCACTCCTCAGCACAACATTACCCTAATACCTCCCCCGGGGCCAGCGTTACAGTTTCTGCCAGCAGAGGCGGGTGGATGCAGCTCCCCTTCCCACTGCGATCCTTACCTTGTGACTGGAACGTGTAACCGGGAAAGTTGCACACAGCTGCAGTGAAGATGACAGTCCATGTGAGAAGCCTCCAAGCTATTGCCATGGTTAGCGATGCTTGTCTCAGTGCAGGGAATATTGTGCCAGCTGAAAGGGCGCTGTCCCAACATGTCTCTCCCTCGGCCACCGCTTATGTAGAAACAGGAGTCCTCGGTCCGTCGAGCGCAGGCATCCTCGGCCGCTCCGTGCTCTCCCCAAAGCAGCGAGGCCGATGGTGTCTTTGCAGTGTGCTGTGCCCGGGCCAGCGCAGTGGGGTCAGCATGGGCTAATTCGAACCGCAGGCTCTTGGTGGCATCGCCCCTGCGAAGGAAAGGGTGGGGATGAGTGAACGGGTCAGACGGGCAGAGGGGAAACAAAGGATGGAGGAGACAGACACGAGGGGGAAAATGGTGTGCAGGGTGAACAAGGAAAGCCCGATCTTAGAGAAGGGAAGAGATGGAAAGAAAGAAAAAGGGCAGAAAAGGACAAGAAGCGAATGCAAATGCAATTAACCACATCAGGTCACAGCATTGGAAAGCCACATTATCCTGCTACAGGGACACTGCACACCCAGGTGCTCTCTTAGGGGTGAACTCTGCTCCCAGCACAGCCCCCGCACCACTCTGACAGCAGCAGTAAAGGGCTGGTATATACCTTTTACTTGAGGAAAGGAGCTCAGAATAAATGGGAACCCTTTGTCCTGTGGCAACACCCACAAGGAAGTGCAGACCGAAGAGTGACCTGGTCTCAGTTACCTGATCTCTTAAAGGAGAGCACAAAATAAAAGCATTAGCAGGGTGGTAGTGAGCAGCAACCTATAAATCCTCTCTACTCCAGTTTCCCTGGCTTTAAAATACAATTTAATGACTGTCACTGCACTGAGAGAAGAGCACTTGCTCTCAGTGTATTGGCTAAACCTAAAAAAGTGATTGAAAACAAAGGACCCATTCAGTGAACTCACCCTTACCCTCAGCTCTATCCACAAATGGATCGTGAGATTCCAATTGTATTTGTTATTTAAAATGATTTGCTAATTGCTTCAGTGAAAGATTTTTGGCTTGCAGATAATTTCCACTCAGTCTGAGGCAATTATACAAAACTCACATAGTGCTGGAGAGTTGCATAAAGCCTGCGGTTTTTGTTTCTATCCAGCGATTAGATGACGTATGCAATGAATATGGCACATACCTAAATACTGCCTGGAGAATCCCAAATACCTGAACAACGATACTCTGCTTGAGAACAGCCCCGCAGCAAAATGCAAATGTTCCTGCAAAGGCTACAGCTAAATACCTACTGAAGTCTGACTTCAGACCGGTGATGCAGCTACAACTTGCACAGCAGCAGACAGTGCTGGAGCACAGCAGGGACGGGCAGGACAGATGATCCTGAGCTCCTGGGAAGATAAGGCTTTGCTGGAGATGGGAGGATTGTGCTCTTTGCAAAGGTGTCAATAGCCATGGCATGTGTGTGGTCCTCATCCCAGTAAGAAAACACTTGGAATAACGTCATTAACCCTTGCCTCACTCTGCTCTTGTGTGCTTTAAATAGCAAAGACTAACTACTGGCTAGAGTGCAGGGCAAGAGAGCCAGGTTCCTCCTCAGGTCTGCCACATTTCCCTTCACCTTGTGTCCTCAGGGGAGTCTGCAATTTATTTCTACTTCTGTTTTCCCATCTCTCTATGCAGTCAAAGCTGTTTGTGCTGCAGGGGCTTGGAATAATACCCTTCACATGCCAGAGACTAAATAGGTGAGGTACAAGAAGAAATCAGAGAGATGATTCCTGCCCCAATAACTAATCTAAATAAGTTAATGATTTTTCCCTGCTAGATAGAAACGTTGGGAGGAATAATGATGCATCTTTAAACCACAATTTGGAGTTCCATATTTTAAATGTTAAGATTTTTAACTGTTTATTTACAGTTAAAAAAGGCCAAAGACCACCAGCGTGCCACTTGCCAGGTCGGTTTCTGCAAAGCCCGGATATAACATCCACGGGGGCAGCCTCGAAGACTGCGCATGCTATAAGTAACCATGAGAATAAACTGCCTAAATCTCGTCTCGGGCTGCTCCGCTCACCCATGACAGGTAAAGGGAAGCAGGCAGCGGAGGCAAGAGGGTTGGGCAGGAATTCTTCTGCCCTCTTCCACCATGACATGAGGATGCTGAGATTGGCACTGTGGGTCCATAAGTCAATATCCACCTGGTGAAAGCATCCTCTGTAGTGTCACCCCCCAGCTGTGGTGCAGAGACGGCAGGGCCAGGGCCCCAGCAACACACGGCCAAGTGCCGTGGATGCTGCCAGCTGCTCTGTGCCCACTCCCCGCAGGGCTGCAGGAAGCGAACTGGAAAAGGGAGAAGGCGAAACGAAAGCTGGGCGTGCTGCGGCCCTCTCCTAAGTCAGCATTTTTCAGCATCTATTAAAGCTCGAGATTCCAGCTTTATATCCTGTCACGGCTCCAAGGTCTGCGGACAGAAAGCCGCTCAGCTGAAGTGTATTTTCTCCTGGGCTTCACACTACTATTTTTCTTGTTTTCCAGCTGTTGAACCCGCTTCCTCAAGGCTGTCTTTATTTCCCGTCCTTCCTCCGCCTCTCCGCAACCCTGAGCCGTGGCAGTCGTGACTGGTGCCCTCGTCTCCCCTCTGCCCTTCCCCTTCAGTCCCAGTTCCTCGGCATCCCCTGGAACAGGGGCCGGGAGGGAGCTGCAGGCGCCAAGACCCCGCAGCCCTGACCCTGGGGGAAGGAGGCACGTTTGGAGCAGCACAAGTCAGGAATTACAGCTGCAAAATTCCCGTAAGCTGGGCTGGGGGAAGGGCCCGGCTTCGATTCCTCCCCGCACACAGCAAGGAAAACATGGCCCCTTCCCAGCGGCGCTTCACTTCTGGGACCCCGATGAGCCCGTCTCTTGCAAGAGAAGGACCCGTAACAAGGAGGAGAGAGCTGGAGGAGCGCGGGCTCCACGGCTGCTTCAATACGTATAAAGTTTTCCATAACCTCACTTTTCAGATTTTGCTTTCCGAGTGGCAGCGACCGGCAGGCGCGGACAAGCCCGAGGAGCCCAGGCCCGCATGGGGCAGGGGGGGGGCAGCGGGACGGCGAGGTCTCGCAGGCCGAGACGGAGGGGCCACGGGGAGGCCCGGGGCAGAGGGTGACCTCTCCGGTCTCGTGCCTCCCTCGCTTGGGCCGGTTCCGATTTGCTCCTTCCCGAGGAATTCGTTGTCCTTGGCAGGCGCCCCGCGAGCGGCTGACGCTCCCCGCTCCTCGCGCCAAGGTGGCTTTCGCCGCGTGAACCCGTGGGCTGGGCCGGGCCGCCCGCGTGAGGAGGCGGCAGCGGTGGCGGCGGGGACGAGGGGAGTGGGGGGAACGATGGCACCGGAGCCGGTGGTGGCTTTGAGGTCACCTCTTCCCACACCAAAAACACGCGAGAAGGCAGGGGGGTGGGG